TTAGACAAATTATCGCGCTCGGCAGTTTCGAGAGTTTCGCTTCGAAAAACTTAACGCGATGCATCGGATATTCTCGACAGCTGTGTCTCTGTGTCGTGAAAATTACCAGACGACGAGTCTCCTTTCTCGATCGTAACCCGCTTGAACTCGTAACGCGCGTAACGCGTTATCGTCGTCGTGTACGGCTCATCCTCTGAATCGCAGTGCAATTCTTGTCACGGTAAAAGACCGGTAACGATCTTTTTATCATCGTTCGAGGACGATTCATGATTTGATGAATCGTGATCACGGCTCATGATTTCGCACATTCGTTGTAAAGCGTAACTATTCAAGCGCGATTCGACGGATTAGACGATAACCGTTGACAAAGTTTACAAAGAATGTTTCTTTTTTACGGAAAACTTTCGTATAAAATATATTTTCGAATGATATTTCAATAGTAATATTGTAGGATAGATTCGAGAAGAGAGAAAAAGCTGCGAACCGTGCATTAACGTACGCATCGCGTCGCGTCGCAGCCGATCTCACGCGACACGTTTCACACGTCCACGAAGCACGGTTCTTGCAACGAGTAGAGCCGGCCACAAGCTTAGCTATGCATGTGCACACCGCACACGGGTGACAAAATACAAATTCTGCCCCCTTTTAGGGAAGCTGTTTACCTTCGGCCCTATCCTTTCCTCTCAATCCTATCTGATATTAAATCTCCTCGAATCCTCTTTCTTTCCCTCGACCGCACCCGACTTTTATTCCCAGCGCCTTTAACCTCTTTTCTATCCACCTCGCTCCCAGCTCTCGTTTTCATCTTATTTTTTTCTCCCGGTGTGGCTTTTTACAAACAGAAGACATATTCGATATGCGACGCGGGCGGCGACTAGCGAGATACAGGAAAAGATTGTTGAAACTTCGAGATTGTTTGAAATTGAAAAAGTTGTGATGAAAACGAATACAGGAAAAAATGATCGTATTCCAAATAATGTAAACTTAAAAGAATCCTAGTTGAGCAATTCGGTTTTTTCGTAATGGCCGCAAAGATTGCCGAAGAAATTCCATCTGCACGGCACGGCACGGCACGAAACGGCGCGGGCGCAGCAAAGCCGGATGTTCGTCGGTAGGACGTGGTAGGCACCCTGGTAGAGGCCGGAAGCTCGTAAACCACACTGTACACAATCGAGGACAGAGGCTTTGTAGTTTCGCAGTTGGCCAAGCGATTCCCTCTTACGCGTATTTCTCGCTCGCAAAGACCGAGTTACGCGGCTCGATTCGCGTCAAGGCTCACAGATCTGCTCCGCGCGGAGCTTGATTCAATCTAGCCGCGTGAACGTACTCGTCGTCGCCACAGCATACTCTTGCGGCATGGTTTATAGTTTATACCATAAACCTTTTATGCGAATCTAACGAGCGACACGTGGCCGCTCAATCGCATCAAAGGCGGTCTCTAGGTATTGGAGTTTCTTTCGATATTACGATATTAAAACGACGCGGCGGCGGTGAATTAACGAAACTCAAAGTTAAAATGCCATCCTTTCTCGGAGTTCCGCGATTACTCGGAGAATCCAGGAAACCAAGTTACCGATCGTTAACGCGTGCTTCGTTCCACTTAGTTCGCGGAACAACTTCCGGACGATCACCTTTCGAGTGGAAAGCCTTTAATTACAAAGGTACGATGAAACCATTCTTGTTCCTTCCACCGCTTGGTCCACGGTTTCATCTCTTTCCCGCGAGCCCGGACTACTCTCAAATTTCACGGAAAGAACTCTTCGTTCAATTAATTTTCATTATTAACGGAATTACTCTCGGAGCAGCCCCTTAGCGAGACTCTTTTAAACGCGTTAGCTACCTTTCCACTACCCATTCGCGTTCCTCCTATTACGCTCAGACCATCCAGACCATTTCTCTCCTTTTTCGTCGTCGTACTTTTCTCAATTGCTCCTGTCATTTTTGACGAAAACGATCTCCCTTCTGTTTCTCCCCTACATCTCGGCAATTCCGACCTCGACACAGTGCTCTCGTTAACCAAGCTAATTTCTATTGTCTTCGAAGACTGGATTCGTCGCGATATCCTCGAAACTGTCTCGAAATCTATTTTGAAATAACCATTGATGTAATCGTTGAGAAGAAAAAAAAAAATAGCCGACCAACACTCAACTCTGATTCCAGTAAACGAATGGTCTCGCAAAATGTCGTCTACTCTCTGACAAACACATCTTTCATTCCATTTCTTCTATTCACGCTTCTTCCTTGTTTACGCATCACGAAAAACTCGTTGCATATAAATCGGACGTGATCGAACTATGCGCAAAGACGAAGCGGTTTCAACGAATCTTGCGAGAAAATTTACGAGAAAATCGCATGGATGACCCATCCTCGAAGATCAGGCGCGAACAGCGGACGCGATAGGAAGTACAAAAACGGAGGAAAAACCGACGGAACGAGCGTTAAAGCCTCCTTGGGCTTTTCCACGTCATTGTTCGTCGGAAACTAACGCGACCGGATGAGAGAAAGAGACGAAGAGAATCTCGTAATTTTCCAACCGCGCCACCGACGCCACTACGTAACAATGAACAGAGAGGGAGGTTCAGCGAATACAATGGCGAAGCGCCACCGCGAAATCATCGCGACACCCCCATCGCTATCATCGTTGCGAATATCTCGTAAATTTACCTGGACGCCAGGCTAGTTTTTCACGAGTATTTCGCGACCGTGAACCCAACTTTCCATTTAAAGTCTAATATTTCCGGCGTGTGAATAACAGGTTCGAAACCGATGACCCAACCTGTGAGTCATACGAGGACTGTCAATTTTCTTCGCTAAAAGAGATACGGATACAAAATACGATATTAAATAAGATTCCCTAGATTAGCCTCCACATTGAAGTAGTTTGAATATAGTTATAAAAAATGATTTAAAATTAAATTAAAATTGCGAAAAAGTCTCGAATAATTTGAAAAGTAAATCTCGGTGAAAGTCGTGGTAGGACTGAGGGTCGTCGTTTTGTTCGCAAATGAACCAGTTATGTCGTTAATTGGACATAAGTTATCCCCATTCGAGTATCGTCGACGATATACCGCGCAGGCGAGAATTACGAGCTCGCGAAATTCGCTCGAATTACCATATACGGGTCGGAACACGGTTAAACTATTTAGCTACGAGCTCGGCCGCCATTTAACCGAAGAGTGTGCAGCAAAGGAAATGCCCGTTTACACCGAGGTCTCGATTGAATTTAACGATAACAACTTTGTTTCTCGACAACTGCCGCAAACATTCTTATTTCTAAGTATATTTTATGATATAGGTACATACATATACTCGGAGTGGATAGGTGGATAGGTCGCTACGATGTAGTCGACTTCGTTCCCGTATCCGTAGAGCCGTACGGAATTTATGGAACGCAGTTTGCGAACGAGATTTCGAGTGCGAACGTGCCCTCTAATCGATAAGCAATCATCGTAAGAGATCTACAGGGTTAGAAACACCTGTCGCGACGATCTTGGTCGTTCCGGTTCTATTACGGTTCGACTGCTTCGTGGAAGGTATCGCGACTTTTCATAGGACACAGTTGCCGAAAAATGATGACGGAATATCTCGATTCCGCGGTTTGTTCATCCCCTAACGATCGAGTTCTGCCAACTGCGTCACAGCCGGTATCTAGCTCCGTTTAATTATTTTTCTTATTATCGGTTAGACGTAATTATCGGTTACTCTACGATTAAAACTTTTACCCAGGTATGTGTAATGTTATTCTACTCGCGATCAGATTGTTTCATACGCGTTAGAATTGTTCCGATCCAGAATTCTGGATTCCAACGGTTCGCGATATACGGGTACCGCTAAATTGCGCAGTGGCGTCGCGTATAGGCAACCGAGTTCAACTTATTGTTAGTTACGTACCGCGATCGACCGGCATTTCATGCGTAACCACATCGAAATCGTTTTTTTTCACTCGCGTCAACTTAAAAATCGTTCTCGTAAATGGGTATCAACGATTCCCACGTGTGCTCGGTAAAAAGGTGACCGGACTGTTCATTAAACTAAACAAGAATCAACGGAGGACAGAGTTGGAGAACAGAGTGCGTACGAGACTTTGAAGAAACGAAGCTAATTCAACGGTTGCTTTCCAAGTGAACGTACTCGGCTACATATGCGCGATCGAGTTGCTATAGAGAGTTGTTAAACGAGAGGAAAACGAGTAAAAAGTATCTAATGAAAACTCACCGGTGATACGCGACGTGCAAACTGTGTCAACTGCGCAGTTGTCGAGATAGAACGCTAGATTCAGGGACGTGGTGTTCGTTACCGGTGCCCAAACGTTGCGACCCACGACCGGTAGTATTAAACGATTATCGCGACATCCAGCGGCAATTTACGGAAACAAGTATGAACCGCTAATCTCGAATAAATATATAAATTGAGATTTATTCGATGAAATGGAAAAGTTGCCCGGCAAATTGTTTGCTGCTAGCCATTTTTAACGATCTGACAACGCTAACTGATCTAGATGATCTTTTGTTAAAACAAGCTCCCGTACATTCCACGCCTGATGATCACATGATCGTTCAAAGACAGCAACGTCATCGCTCGACGATCGAGTAAACGAGAACGAACAAGTGGCGCGATCGGTCGGCAAAAATGTGAAAGAAGGAGCAAAACAGCGAATCGAACGCCACCAGCTTCGTTGTACGAATATACCACGAAATAAACGGCACACACAAGCAACAGCCACCCTTCCGTTCCGTTCCATTCCGTTGTGTCCGACCCATTCCCCCCTCCTCGACCTCTTGCCAAACCCACGATTAGTCTTAAGTCTTAATGTTAAACGAAAGAAGCGATCGCTATTGTAGTCGATTCGGAAACAAACAAACATTTTGTATGCGCGCCCTCTTTGCACAATATGGTGTAATCCGTTTAACGCGCGTAATCTCGTTGCCTGTTTTTCAAGCCAGTTTCCATCACGCGAGCACATTGTCACTTGGTCATTTACACAAATTGTCGACTCACCGTTTCGTTTTCCGCGATACACATGGGCTCCACCTCCATGTTTTCCCTCGATTTGCCTCTTTTCAACCTTTCCCAAGAGAATCCCTTCCTGACACGCTTTCTTCAATCCCGATTCCGTCTTATCTTCGACACTTTGCAACAACGTGTGTCTGTTTACAAACACTGCAAGGTCACACAGCAGACCCCCAGACCTCTGACTATCGAGTATTTCCTATTACGTCACGAATTACCGAACGACGCGCCACTTGCGGCGAAACGTTGAAATATTTTCAATTTGTCTGTTGGCAATTGACTGCTGATAAACGAGTAGATTGTAGTAGACGCATTTCTCGTGAAAAGTTACTATGTTTTTGAACACGTGATCGATCCAAGGTCGTTACTCGAAAAGTCACGATAATGCGATTGAAATTTCTTTTAACGTAAACAATTTTCATATGCTACAATTCTTACAATTTGGCATCGAAATTATCAACAACTATTCGTAAACATTTTGTGCGATGAACGAAAAAAACCATTTAGATCCTGAATATGTTTGGGTTGTACGGACATGTACGAACGCTTTTAACGTTTATTTGACTATGCTTCATTTTATCTTTTACGATAACGCCATAAATATGCAACCAAGTACTAGCCGTAAGTTATGAACGATTCGGTCGCAAAAGGATCCTTGCATAAAATTTAAGGTCGCTATAAGGTTATCAACGTTTAAAATATCATTTCTCATAATGAACGTAATAAAGTTACAGAGACTTTATCGTATCCGTTACTTATGGCAGCAGTGGACCTTCTGGTATATACCATATTGCAATAAATGCGAAAGATTCAAATTATGGAGAATAATTTTCATGTAAATGAAACAGTAGAATTTTATTATTTTTAATGTATAACAACTACCACCAGCCGAAATATTCCATTACCTGCTCTTTCAATTCCATATTGTATATTATATGATATCACAAAATTTCATCTTAAAATTGATAATATCCACTGCTAAAACTATTTCTGTATTTGTTTAGGTATTCGTCATCGTACGAATCACCGCGATAGATTCTATCGTAATTTCTATTGCGAGGATAAAACAGTTCTGATTCGTAATCCCTTTGCCGACTGGGAAAATATCTGTGAATAAATAAATGACCAATAAATGAATATGTGATATACCTCAAACACTAGGATAAACTGTTATTGATAATACGCCATTACCGATCATGTCTTAAATAATGTACAACATAGGGATCTTCTTTGTAGTAATCTCTGGGTAATTTATCTACGTTATAATCCCTGTACAGTAGTTCGTAGCGATTATTACGAAAACGACTACTTGGATGTAACTTGTCCCTGTAATAATAAATCTCTTTGCCATTGCGATCAAAATAACGTCCCGGCTTTTCTTGCGCATAGTTTCTTCCATCTTCTGTGTACAAATCATTGTGATATCCTCCGTGATAATCGCGATACGCGTTCATACTGAATAAGACAATGAAACGATATTTTAATAACGTGAACGTAACAAAAAAAAGAAACGAAAAATATAATTACTTACTTTTTTCTATTGTCATAGATTCCCTGATGGATTCGGTCTCGTCCGGTATAGGAAACATCGTGCGCACCGTCTTTGAACGAATCCAGCGATTTTTGCCTATAATAATCATCGCTATTTCCTGACGACCTACGGCCCCCCTCGTCGTTGCTATCCTCATAAAAGCTCGAATTATTTCCCGACTCGTCCTTATGGTAGTTGTTACTAAAACCGGTCCTCTGGAAACCTTTTTTGTAATACAAACTGCCGCGCCGTTGAAAAGAATTCTTCCCCTGATCGATGGCTTCGGATTCGCCCAAACTATGTCTTTCTTTGTCAAATCCTTCGCGGACCGTATCTTGGTCGTTGTATCTCTTCTCGTCTTGTTTCTGCTCGTTAAATCCTAGTTGGCCTCTGTTACGAACGGAACTGCCTTCTTTGCTTATTTTCTCATTATTGAGAATTCCATCAACCGATTCGAGGTTTCTTTGCACGATATCCGATAAGGAAGATCCTGATTGCCTGTCGACCTGCGGATCAATCGAATCGGAGGCACAAAAGCTGTACGAAACGATAAGTAAAAGCAAGATATTCCAAATACCAGACGGCATATTTATAATAAACGTAACTTTCGTTGATATTGACGCATCGATTTTTCGACTGACTGTTTTCGGACGATTCGTCTGATTTTATATCAAAGTAAACGGCCTTGTTTCGACGACAAAACTAAACGCATCCTGTGTGCAAAAACCGAAAGATCCGTCAGTGAGACGGTGAGTTAGCATGGCCTTCGAAATTTCGGTTCTTCGCATTAAGGAATGAGCCCAACGATCGACGCGACGAAGCGAAACGACTTATTCGACATTTCGCAAAACTGTTATTACGATAACAGTTGTTCTCATACAGACAATTTATTCTATTTAAAACACTCGTTACGTTTAGATTTGTTTAATGCGTTAAAACTTACAAATAATAGAAAAGAATTATTTGAAATAAATTATTTCTATGAATACATTATTTACAGCTTATGAACGCTATTAGAGGCACCTCTACGGTAGCATAGTTGTCAAAGGTAAAGGTAAGAAATATATAGATATTGTAAAAAATATTCAAAACTTATATTTTACGTCGTCTTCGCGGAAATTCTCGGTGCAGAATCATACAAGACGTTTTAATCGTACTCTAAGTATCGTAAAGGGTAAGATGGGAGGGGAGAAGAAGGTATGCGCGGTATATAATACATCACTAATCGTCATCTGTGTTTCAAAAATATCGTAGCTCTTTCTAAATAGTACTTTTACGCACATTCTCTCTTACACTCTGGTTAGTAAAATTGATCGTTCGACCAAGCGGTATATCAAGCTATACAGTTTTGTAATTGTTAAACACAATTTAATAATCGTGGTAATTTTTGTTCGATTGAAAATTCTACACAATTCTAGTAAACGCTAATATACATTAAATACATATTTCACTTTATTTTCCTTCTTGCGTTTATAAATAGCGTAAAGATATACAGTATTTTGCCATTCTACTGCAATTCAACTGTTCTTTCGTTTCAAATAATAAAGTAATCGTTTTATTATTTGCGTATACCGTTCCATGTTGTTCGAGCGAATTAGGAAATGTTCCTCCGACTATGAATTACCGATTTGGAAGGCAATGATTTTAATTTCGAATACACTTTCGAAAAATATAGATAACATCCTTTCTCTGCATTACGTCGTAAAATCATAATTACATACTATTCTTGTGCAAAGGGAACACCGTTACAAACGTTCTTTCTCGCTCGGTAATTCAGGGTGGCCAGGGATTCTATTGGAATCCATTGAAAAAGTAAATGTTTACTAACAGCGATAGCTCGGCCCCTCCCATACCGTGGCAGTATGTTAAAATAAAAGAAGCACTTCGCAATTGCATTCTTCGATCCGTTTACCAGTAATCATTTTTAATTGCTGGTAGACTTGTATGCAAATTATCAAGCAGCGATACGCCGTTAAATAAAAAATGGATCTTCGTAGACCACCCCATTCTCGGCGATGAATGGACGCTAACTTATTTACAAGTGTCTATACGATTAACATACCTCCATAATTTATACTTACTCTGTACACGCGCGTTTTCAAATAACTACAAATGAATTATTATATTTACATAATTTGGCGATTTGTTAAAATACTTAAAAATTGATGCGATACAATACTAACGCGGCACGCTATTTATTAGCTGCCTATAGTTTTGGTCGTCAACGATGACGCGGCTTTTAGTATTGGAAGAAATTCTGATCAGTACTCCACGCTTATCCGTTTCCATGAAAAATAATATAGATTTACTGAAATGTCCGCCTATAGTTCTCTATGAAATTATTATCCGTTCACTGGTTTTTCCTCTCTTTATGCTCGATACATAATTTACGCCTATAGTGCACATAACTCGACAGAGATAATATTATTACCATTGTGATTCCTCTTTAGATTTCAGTTTAACATCCTTTTTATGATATAAACGTGAATATTCGTCTTGATAAGTCGTACACTGCGCATTTGACTTGTTAGATTTCTGCATATTAGTACTAACTGGTGAATTAGTCGGTGAGTACTTCATTTCTTGTAATTCTTGTAATTCTTTTAGCGACCTCATTACCATTTGAACGTCTTGCTCTTGTTCCGTTGGTTGCACTACGTTACTTACAGCTTCATCCAAAATCATTCCAACATCTTTCCGTTTATCTGTTATAACCCTCGGAATTACATCATTGTTAATGATTTGACTCAAATAATTAGTTGCAGCAATTGTCTCTTCATTTTGTCTTTGCTCCTGTTCCTCTTTTGTAAGCGATAGTTGTTGTTGCTGTTGTTGTTGTTGTTGTTGTTGCTGTTGCTGTTGCTGCTGCTGCTGCATAGGCACTACATCTGAATTACTATGCACAACTTGCTTCTCCGATACTTTTTGATCCTTCTTTCTTTTCTTAGCATCGTGTGATTTGTGCTTAACTTCCACGCACCGTTCCCGCTTTTTATCCCTTTTTTCAGTCTTATTAGTCATCTCGACATCTTTGTCCTCTACCTTTTTATCATTTCTGTTTTCGGAATTTTCATGTAGTAACCTATGCTTTAGAGATACAGGTTTTGAATGTTGCGATGTTTGATTTTGTGTAGAATAGTTAGAATGTTGAGATTGCGTACACGAATATAAAGCTTCTTGTCTATGTACGGAATGATGTCCACTTTGAGGCACTTCATTTATATTTGGAAGAACATTCGAAGTTTCAGAATAAGCCGTAATAGAAACTACATCTTTCTTAGTTTCACTCACTTTTGTAGACGACTTGTGGAACTCATTAACTGGAGTAATAGAAAGAGAACTATTAGCCAACTCCATCAAATTAATCTTTTCCACGTGACATTTAGCTGGCTTTTGCGCCATCAATTGAGATGTAGGAACAACAGAAATTTTACCTACAGTAGAATTACTAGTTGCGACTGCCGAATTTTCATATTGTTGCACCGAGTTACAAATTTCTTTATTCTTATCTTTCTGTTTTATGCTGTGTTGCTTTTTCTCGGTACTATCATTTGATTTTGTTGTTCCTTGTTTTATATAATTTGTCGAGTTTTCCGTAATATTTTGAACTTTGGATACATTCGTCGAAGCTTTATCTCTTTCTTGAAAAGAGGTGCTGCTTATGTTTGATGTGTCGATCTTTGCAGCTGAATTGTATACTGCGTTTCCAGAAGAACCAGTGGTATTGCCATTCCCGAGTTCTTTCAATTTCTTCGATTTCTTCTTCGTTCTAAAAACAAATCATGTTACACTTAAGAATAATGTTATTAGAAGAAGGCATCACCCCACTCTCACATTCTCTTTCCTATCTAATTTTACGTACAAGTTTAACGCAAACGTTAAATCGGTCTGACGTCATATAAGAAGTTACACTTCAAAAAAACTAACATAAACTTAAGACTATATTCATATTCAATCAACAGTTCTACTTACGCAGGTTCGCAATCGTTGACGTATTCGAACAAAGTTTCTGCCGTCATGTATCCATTCGGCCATAACGGTAATACTTGTCGAATTAAAAACGATCCAATGAAAGTGTCCATACTCATTTTTCTTGGTCTTAAGACATTGTAACATTGTCTCCTGGCATTTGCAATTTCGTAAACAAGTTTTCTGCGAAACAAAACAAAAACATGATACAACGCTGGGAGATTGTTTTTATTTTATTATATACAATCAGTTCCGAAAAATATACTTTGCTTCCTCGGTCCAAGGGAATCGTTTTTTATGTATTTTTGCCTTATCTGAATTCTCGCTATTGTCTTCATCATCGGAACTTTCAGCATCGACTGGCGACCCTTCCATTTCCCTGAAACGATAATATTAATTATAAATAAATAATTATTATATGACTGTCAAGGCATTATCATTATGACGATGATAAAGAATGATGATTAGCATTTATTGTGATCAATTTCATGATTCAATAAATGTTTTTTTTAAATTCCTTCATAAATGTATACAAGTAATCATTGAATTTAATTCCAGTACATGTAAAACTATTGCTTGACAAAAAAAAACTGATGCTTATGAGAAACTAAACACTGATACTGATGATAAAAAGCCCCGGAATTTTTTCGTCATCTCTATAAGAATAATGGCAAATAAATGAGAAAGAATGGTACTTCATTTTCTACATGTAGGACAATCCAAATTATTTTCATGTATATAAAACATTGAGATAGCAGCAATAAGCATGAATAGAGTATAAGGGGAAGAATAGACAAGATAGACGAAAAGGAAAATAAGGTGAAGAACAACCGGACAGGCGAAAATAGAAAGAGGTTTCCTCTTACGAGGGGCACCTTACCAACAGTACCGGTATATATCCCAGTATAAATGAGGACTAAGAAATAGAAAATTATTGTAAGTTCCCATTCTGCAAAATTATGCAAACAAGTAATTTATGTTATAAATTTACGAAAAATGTTATTTTTAATCAAAATTCGCCATTATAGGTTTCCTTTTTTTTTTTTTTTACTAATACAAGAAAAAAAATGTATATCCTGTGGAATCCAACGAAATCAATATCAAATAACAGTCATTCGTGAATAACGAAACAAATATTTTGATAAATACTTACTTTCCGTCAGCGACCTTTTGACATTCATCAAGATACTTGCACATCACAGATGGCATTATTTTATTGATAACTTCTTTTAACCTGCAACAATGTGATATTAATTATTAGATGATTATAAAAATGTATTGAAAATAAATCTGTAAATATATGTGAGACCTTTGTATAAGATCCCTGATATTATAGTCAAGATCCTGTACATATAATTTCTTTGCTCTATTCTGAAGAGCCATTTTACTAGATGGTAAGAATCGTGCTAAATGACCGTATGTTTCTGACCTCAGACTTGGGGAAGAAAGCATCCTCAATCTTTTCTCTAAACTGAATTAGAAAGATTAACGTTAATTATTTATCTTGTGTTGACTATGAAATATTGTAAAACAGTTGTTGTTTACCTAAACAATAATCCATTAACCGCTGTGTCGAAAAATTTAGTCTTTCCTTCTTTACTATTTTCGGCATGTGCTTTCAATTCGTTAACTATTTCTACAACATTTTCTGGAAGCGAATCAGGCAAAGGTGCTCCTTCTTTCTCAATATCGTCACATTCAGATTCTGTACCTATACATCTGGATTTGCCAGAATCTGTAGTGTCTCTACTCGATTCATCTTCAACCCTCGCAGCATTAACTACACTTTCTATTGCATCGTCGATGTGCAATATAGACTTTTTTACCTCTAATTTCTTTCTACCAAAACCATTACTGTTGGCTGTCTTCTTTTCAAACTTTTTTATATCAAACTTTTTATCCGATGTACTTTTATTTTTTTGTGTATCCGTTTTATCAGATTTTTTCTTGTCTTCTTGATCCTCTGAAACTAATATTTAAAAATCTTTTAGAACTGTTTTATGTTACTATTATAAATGTATTATAATTATTGTAAAACTTTGTCTTATTATATTTAGATGGACCACCTTCGGCATCCGTAGTTTCTCCCTTCTCTTTCTGTCTGTTCAAGGTATCTCCATCTTGTTGAGAATTTTGTTGATCTTGTAAATTTTGCTGTTTTTTTTTCTTTTTGATAATATTTTCAGGCGGTTTGTTTACTCCATTTTCATCTACTTTTACTTTCTGTGAAAAGTAATAATGTTTTTAGTTTAAACCAACAATGAAGTAGAGAACATTGTATTATAACTTTGGTTACTTTTCTTGGTTGATCACCGGTAATATCCTCGGTTTCGTCTTCATCCGTTGTGCTATGAACTCTTTTTTCTGTTCTTTTAGGGCTGTCCACATCCTCTGTATCGTCTTCGCTACTTTCGCTACTTTCGTCGTCGTTACTATTGTTATTGTTGTTGTTATTGTTGTTATTATTATTGTGAACCAATACATGACGATCGGCTGTCCTAAATTCAAGCGCTCCACAGTTAATATAAAAACCGCCGTGTGCTGTAGTCACCTCTTCCGGTACAAGTTCATCGTACTACAATAATAAAAAGTTATACACGGAACTACGGAAAAACTGCGACAGTTGTATTCAATAATAATATGTTGTCCTACTTACAGCATCTGTATTATCGATGAAAGAATCATTCTCATCGTATCCAGCTCCCAAATCCACGTAATCGTCGTATTTATGCCTTTTCCTTCCCGTAGTAGACGTTCCCTATAATAAACAATTGTAGAGCGAATAAATTTTCGTAAATACGTTTTTGATTTTATAGTTTCAACAACTTATGTTTTACGTACGTATTTTGCTTCGAATCGTCTTGCCATATCTCGAAGTTTATCATCGTCGTCATCGTCGTCGAATGACAATCCGTTAGTTGCATTTTCTTCACCTCGCTTTAGTTCCTTCCTATGTTTTTTCTGTAAAGTAACATTATCGATTTGTATCGAGATCGAGAACAACAATAACGATATCGTTTGTAATTGTTACCTACTAACCCACAACGAATTTCAGTGCGCTTTAACACCGACAAGTACTTTCACTATTTAATCAAAAATTCAGAGATAGTTGACGTGTCGCGCGCACGCACGCACGCACGAAATTCATCGACTACGTACGCAATTTTCCGATTAATTAAACTGAAATATCACGCATTCGGAACGAAACGATAACGTAAAAAGTATTTATTATACTATACATGAAAGGTTTCATGTAAAATAATCGTGCATAAATTCAAACATTTCTTCGAATATTTTGCAATATATTTATAAAGAAATACGTAAAGAAAAGTAAAACTCGTTCAAAAAAGAACACAAGTTGTCCATTGATACCAGGAGCATGTACCAACACAACACCAATATGTACTACATACACAAGGAGCATGCATAGATCTAACTCTTCCCTCGGAAACGCGTAACTTCTTCGTGTCTCCTGCTCCCCTAATGTCGGAAACGCTACGACCGACTGATTGATCCCGAACACTCTTCAGTGTTATAAACAAAACTAAAAAAATTAATTAATTAAAATAACTTGTTTATAAATAAATGTGTTCGGCATTAAAGTGTTGCAATAAAAACTAGAAAAGCACAGTTTAAATCAAGGCTGAAAATTACAAGAAAAATTGTTTTTATATTTAAGTTGCAATGACAAAAAAGAAATATAATCATGAAAAGAAACGATATTATACCGTATCGATATGTTACATTAATTACGTTGAACCGTAATGTATTAAAAAATAAAACTAATTGATTTTTCATTGAAATGGAAAAATACATTAAAAGCGCTTTAATTAACTGTATAAGAGAATAGAATAGGAACAGTAATTATCATTTCGAGGATTGTACTCGTACATTTCGTTCGATTGCAAATAAATTAATTTATTTGAAATAATAAAGATGTTGTCATTTAAATGAATAAATAGCATAAGAAAATATAAAACAACGTAATCGGACATTGCTCTAAACTCTAAATATACGATAGAAGTTCAGCACAGTATCTACATGTAAAGCGTTACATAGCCGTCGATGAGCGCGATTTCATTTTCAATGCATCGATTGCAAAATTAACACAAAGATTTTCTGCCGTGCACACACATAAAATCATTGCGATAAGATACGTGTAAAGTTATGACACGTACATTTTATAATAATAAAAGTAACGAAGCTTTGCAAACAGTTGAAATGAAAATCATATACCAAGCGAACGCGCTCAAATAACAGTCACGTCGTTCGTAGAGAATTCGCAATGGCCCAATTGTATTGTCTTGTAACAGAACAGCATTCACAATTCCATATCTGTTTTATTCGTGGTAAAGAATGATCGTCGTGAAAACGATTGTTAAACATTGGTCAGTAATCGGTAATCAAATCAGGTTTCAAAGAAAACTTCTAACAGACGGTGTCTTGTGTAAGCATACGTTGACACAGACATACACCACACCACACCACACCGGCAACGGGAACGGCAACGGCAACGCATTGTGACGTTTCTATTCGATGGCTTCGAATTGATCACACCTTTTTCTGCCAGTCTATAGAAGAACCAACGATATAGAGATCCTGGCCGATACGCGAATAAGAAAACCATACATATGAGCGAGATACCCGAAAGGTAATCGCACGGTAATCGCAAACATGACAATTCAGCTAAGCAGAGCGCACGAGTTCCCCTCGTTTCATGCATTACGAAAATGGTCGATCCCATTGAAATTTTTGCAGTTTCTTGTCAAAGTGTGCAACCAAAGGAAAATCGTAGCCAGTGTTTGGCTTGATTAACGAGATGTTTTGAGGAAACGTGACCGTATGGATGGAGACTTCGTGGTTGTTTTTCTTTTGGTATACTTGTGTATTAACGAGTGAAAGGAAGAAACTGACCTCGGCTGCTTTGAGGAGCTGTGCATAGTTGAACTCAGGACATGCCTTCTCGTTCGACTCTGGCAGGGTGAGTGTGAAACGGAAGGAGGGCGCGAGCTGTTTGCCCTTTTCCCCCTTTTTCTCTTTCTTCGTAACGTAGCCCAAGGACTCCGGAAACTCCAAGGTCTGCAAAGGTACCCGTTTAGCTTCTGACATTCCTACATTTGCACCGAACTCAACGTGGATCACGGAAACACTGCGAACACTGCGGTAACAACATGGTCCTTTCTCTTAAACACCGCACCGACACCACCACTCGCACGTCGCCATCTTCGGCTCGACTGTTTTTAGAGTGCGCTGTTGATGCCGCCGCCGCCGCCACACCGTCAATTTCACGCATGCGTCTGATAATGCAAATAATCTCAAGTTCCGTTTACATTTACATCTTACATTTTAGATTTTACATTGAAAACCCGATATTTTATATGGAAACAAGCTTAATTATTCCAATAAATAATTCAATATTACAGATATGTCCAACCACAATATAACTTTATCGTTATATTGCGTTTTATACGAAAGTGTATTTTAACGATGCATCGCAGTTACGATCAATTATTCGATTATACCATGGTAATAGTATCTTTCACAATTTTATTATCCAGATTAGTCGATTCAATTTTAATTAAAGTTAAAAGATAACAACTCGATTCGCACGCATATCATTTATTATATATCGCTTTAATACGATCTTTACAAGTTGTAATTCTGTCTGAGAAAGGTTATGTACCCTTCTACAATAAACTTATAATAACCTCATGTCTGTAAATAATAAAAATTCATTCTAAAACTTACATTTCCATGCCTGCAATGCTAAGCTCTGGTCAGTTTTACAAGTCGCAAAATGTTTACCTAAATAACCAATTATGTTAAAAATATAAAATACACGTATAACAAGCATTTTTAAAGAATGCTCGATCCGAATTCTTAATTCGGTTAATTTAACCGAGAATATCGGGATCATTTTCAACATTTCTCTCTTTATTGGCAATTTTAATCGATGAAAATTGCTGACCTAAAATCTTCATCACTTCCGCATGCCTTACGTTATGTTCTTTCTTCACAACGTTATAATTTTCTTTGACGTAAAGTGCAAATCCAGCAACTTCTCTTTTGGGTGTCTGCACTTGTACAGTTCCCGATTTCGTCGTTTTATTTATTAATAATTCAAATTTTCCATAACAATGGCCACATCGTTTTCTTTCGGTGTCCAAAGATTTAGAATGTCTACCGATGCTGAAACAAAATTTACATCGTGTATTAACAAGTACGTAGATAATAGTTATAAGAATAGCTTGGTTGTTTCAAATAAATAAATTCATAAGTATGCTAATTTTTAGAATAACATCTAAAGCGTACAGACAAAGACCAAAATAGAAAATTTGTAAACTTACAAATTTAAATCTATAGACAATTTAATTACACGTTACCAATTTTATGCAAAACATTTTACCTGTACCCACAGCTTATACATCTGTACGTGAACTTTGTATTAATTTTATAGTCGTGACATCTCCGTATCGGTGGTAATTCGGGAAATGTCTTCATAGCTTTATTGGCCCTAAAATACCATCGAAATGTTATTTAATAAACATGAGAATAGGAAATAATATTAATGTAATTGTACCATCCTGTCCAAAATGGACCATGACCATCTGAAACATCATTTATCAACCAAGCTGCTGCATGACACATTTCATGAATTAAAGTGTCCCGAAGTCTGTCTGGAGTATCCAAAACCTGTATAAGAAATTAAGATTTTAATTTATATTTTATATATCATTTATTTTAAATAAATAAAACTCGCCTTTGTTGCCAAGACTATTCTTGAAGATTTTACGATACCTCCGAGTTTTTTCGCAGATTTCTTATTATAACAAAAACCTGCGCTTCCTCTCATACGGACGTTCCACTCGATTAACATATTTTCTGGTAATCTTTTATCGAATATTTTTTCATTGTATAGTTTATATAAATGATTGGACAGATTTTCTTTATTATTCTTATAATTTATCCTGTATTTTTTGGCATCTGGATGTGCATTAGTAAGGGGAACATTTTCAGATAAAGATGCCAGAAAGGTATTATGTTTCTCATATTTTTGGTTGTCGGATGGTTTAACTGCATTATTTGTCTTAGATATTTGTCGAGGAATTTTAATAGGATCTATAAAGATATATATTTACAGTCTTAAGACATTACTTACATAATTTAACGACATGTACAGTACCTTTCCTAGCTGTGGGTTTCGGTGATACTTGATCGCCAGGATCGAATTCGCTAGTACTCGAATTTTCACTTTCATCGTCGTTAAATAATAATTTTTTTCTTCTTACATCACGAATATCATTACCGGTACTATTGTCATCTTCGTTCTCAGTATCGGTATCGCATATCGCGATAGCTCTACAAAATGGACCGCAACAATAACTAAGAAATTCCTTGTACTTGTAAATGTTTTAAAGAGATATTCCTTACCTTTGTACAATCGATGGAACTGTTCGTTTGAGTTTAACACTAGCTGTTGATACTCTTGGATTTGTTAATGCAGTATAATACAAACTTTCGTTTCCACTTTCCGATGACGTTTCATCATTAATAAAGCTATCTCGTTGCTTAGTATTTTTTCGTGCGGTCTTCTTCGTTGAACTTTTTTGTACTCGTAAATCTTTCAAGGCTGGATAAAATTACATATATTTATACTAGTCCATTTAGCATATATGTATATAGGACATTATGCGATCATCGTAACACAGTTTATAACGTAACAACTTACACGTATCGCTATTGTCATTGTCCGAATCCATTGCATAGATTTTTCCTTTGTTTGTCCTTCTTCTGTAACAAGTACATTTGAATTGCAGTATTTTATCATAAATTATAAAATAATAAACAATATTTGCAATTTACCTCTCAGTTTGAACAGCTCTGTTCCTTGTTGTTATTATTTGCTTCCGTGGTTCAGATTTTGGAAACAATACATCTGCTTTTTCTCGCCAAGATTTACCATATAACTTATCTAATATATCTGCACACTCCATAACATTTACACTTTGTGGTGTATGTATCGTAGAATTTGAAGACATATTATCAGCGCAATTATCTTTCGATACAATTTTTCGAGGTACATTAATTTTCGAACGTGGTGTACACTCGTACAATGTAATTTGTCGTTGTACCGTAGGTGTAACTATTTTATTACAATCTTGATTTATTATTTTTTCACTCGCAATCGTAGAATATATTTTCCCTCTATTATTTGGAGTTTCATAATTCATTTCTAGTCTTTCTAAACTGCTATTTCCAGAACTTATATCATCTTTATTAGTGGCAGGAACAATATCAAAAGAATTATCACTTTTTGAATCGGATGAATTTGTCATGAGCCATTTTGAAATTTGTTTCTTTTTTCTTTCCGATAATTCGGTGTACATTGTTCCCCTGTCTTTATGTGTATTTATATATGGTGTATCTAAAAATCTACTAACGTGATTTCTATAAAAATTTGTTGAATTTATCTGAGATCCTTGAATAATATCACTCTCAGAGTTTGCTATACTCTCGTCAATAATCGTATTCATTGTTTCTAAATTATCTTTAGGTGAAATAGCTGGATGTATACCATTGTCTATACTTTCGTCAATTACAGTGTTATTCTCTCTCTTTCTTGATTTGTACACTACTCTTGTTGACTTAATATTTTTCATAATGTCTAGAGTATTTTTGGGTGTAAGCTTCTTCTCAAAGTCGTTATTTTTCTTGTTAGTATCGTGCAAGACTTTACCAGCTAGGTTAATAGTTTTAAAACTTTTATATTTGCTAGTACCACCAGTAGAGTTTGATAACAAATTTTGTTGATTTGTTGTACAACTATGAAACTGAGTATTTGTTTTTGATATAATATCGATATTGTTTTCTGGGGTAAAACAGAAAGAATTATTGTCAGATGTAACGGAACATGGAATATATCTTTTGCTTTGTTCGCTACTGTTGGATGAAGTATCGTCGGATGTAAATAATGCACTATTTTTATTCACATTTCTATTATTCCAATCTAGAAAAGTTTCTTTATTCTTATGCCATGCTTGAAACGGTCTTTCCTCTTGAGCATCCGAAGAATCAGAAGAATCCACAATGCAGACTTGTTTGTTTTTAATAAAGCGTCTGTTTAATTTAAATTCAGGTGAACGTCTAGGACTGGAACATGTAGAACTGGAGTCACTTATCACTATCACGTCCTTCTCGTTGTTTGTATCGGATGTAAGGGAGTCTTGCGATAATCTTAAACAAAAGTTTTGAGACTCCCTTACAAATTCTTCCATTTTATTATCGCAAGCCATTTGTATATCGTCAAGTTTTGTATACTTTTTCTTCTCTTGTACTTTTCCTTCTACATTATAAAATAATTTATTTTCTGTAAGAATAGATTTAGAATTAAAATAAACACTGTACGAAACAAAAATTTAGATAAAAACTAATGTTTCCAGTTTACTTACCACGTTTAGACATTCTCAGTAAACGAGCAGTCCCTAAAACAAAGCTGCAAGTTATAGTAATTTATCTTATATATACATCATGCATCAAATTAAGCGATATAAACTCCACATTAATTCCGGAAACAATAACATGTTGTTTAAATACGTTTCGTCAATTACGATACGTAAGTACACTTTCTTTTCACAAGCAGGAATAAATCTTGAAATAGATCGAAGTGAAGAATGTAAACATAAACATAATATACATAATCAAAACATAACGAAACATAATAAGAAATTAACGAAAATGAAAAGACATGATAATCAAACATTCTGTTTAATATCTGTATATAATATACAAGATGAAAATGTGTCAAGATACCTTTTTTGGCGGATAATCGTATAAAAACTATCACTTGAGAATAAGTATCACAAAGCCAGTAGCATTCAAACGTTCAGTTCAATCGGTCCGTTAGTATGCGAATCAGTGCAGCCAACCGTTAATCTATAATTTACCAACGCATTGGATCACTATAGCCATAGCGCGGTTTACGAATTTTTCCACGGTGAACAACTGTTGAAATTTGCAAACTATTTTACGTACTAACTATTTTTGCTTAGGATGTATTGCGAGGTATTAATAAGTACACATGTTACTTGATGCGTAACGTATCAGATATATTTTTTGTTTCTAATACCGAGTTACAGAAGACACATTTACATTGCATATATGTAGAAACGCTTTGTCTAACCGTACCGATTCCTTTAGAGTTTAGAAGATAGAAAATAAGTATAAATTAACCGTGGCATGTGCGATCGTTCGTTTGTAGTTTTCTGCTTCAAAAGTATCGAAACAGTTGAATAATCCATTACACGCATAGGTAATTTTTGATTCGCTCCCCATTGCCAAGGAATATATTGATAGTGAATTTAAACAAGGCAACAGTTTGACTTGCTTTCGAAAGCAACAATCGTGTTTTCCGTCGAGGGGTTTTCTTGCAAAGTTGTATGAAAAAATCATTCGGTATATTACACCAAACGGCATTCTACCTCGTAAGTATGTTTTTTCTCTTTACTTCCAGGTGCAAATATCTCGCGATTCTCACTTGTCGATGTTACTTGTATCATATGTATTCCGAAAGCGAGGAGCAGACTCGATAGCGATAGTGCTCCGGTTGGCAAACGGTGGACAATTGACGTTTCTCGAGTCTCGAGTTCGCTTGCTTTTCATCTCCGCGCCCATCCACTACGCATCCAACCCTCAACTGTGTATTCCCCGCATACACGACGGGAATACACACGACAAGTAAAACCGTCCAATTCACGCGCAAACGTGTCTATGTATACCAAAAAATCGAAAATATACCTAACTACCAACAGAATCTAATCTATCGAAACAGAAATCGTATATTACAGCCATATCAAGCCGTCTTCGTATCCGAGCAAGTAGAAAGTATTCGAGACGAGTCGTTAAACGTTAAACAAATCCATCAACAAACTAATCTCTGTTTCAAACCTGTTTATGTTTATCGTTCATCGATGCGCTGCCAACCAACAAATGCATCACCTGTTTTCTCGGCGTCGGTCGACGACGACGGGTCAAGCTTTTCTGCGATAGATATTCGGCTATTTTCTCACGTTTATACAAAGTAAACTCGATAGCTTCCATCGGCAAATGTGTCTGATAGAAATAGCAAGGTGAAAGATCCTCTTCGACCTCGGAAGGGAATGCCATTGGCTCGGCGTACCCGTCGAGGATTAAAATCATCGTGCCAAGAATAAAAATGTAGAGGAGGAACTGAAAAACATTTCGTATTTCACGGTACAGCCGCGTTATATTTTTCGGATAGTTTGAAAATTAGAAAAACGGTAACTGAAAATTCTCTCGAATTTCATACGGAGTAAAACATTATGATATTATGAAAATCTGAAACGTTCAAGTGCAAAAGCGATCGATTTGCTACCGATGACTTTTACAATCGCAGAAATTGATAAAATGCATTACTACCACAAGGTTGATTTATTCATTAAATTCGTTGTTTAGTAAATAACGAGTAATAAGATCGCGCGACGAGTGAACGTGGACAAAAACGGATACTTTGAGCGCGAGGAATAATCGTATTTTCGACGTTTTCGTTCAATTACAGCTTACATTTTACCTTGGACGTCTTCCGACCGAGCACCGACATAATACAATTACGTTTCTTCGTTTTTGTCCTTATTCAGTCTACAAGGAAGCTTTTAGAAGTTAAGCATTGGATTAGAAAACGTTGCGTCTGAAAAAGAAAGAGGAAAATCAATAGGACCGCGCAATCCAGAGAACGTAACTGAATCTATCGGTATTATCGTTATCCGAGAAACGGATATTACATATTACCCATTGCAATGATTTCTCTCCTGTTAATTGGGCAAAAATCGATCGAAGGATACATTGATACACCGACGAGAAAGACTGGATCGCTACAAAGGTAATCAATTCTGCGATACAATATAATGATTTCGAGAGAATAAACGCTATCATCTTCGCTTTCTTCAGATGCTTTTCTCAACATCTTTTTTCACAACGATAGAATATCGGGCAATATTATTAGACGGAAACACTGATTTAGGTTACACTTTTCATTTTGACGACTCGAACAAAGACAAACCGTTGCTCGTGTTACTCTTTGAATCTACATACTCATTTGTTATGTCTAGAAATAAACAGAAAGAAAACTTGATAAACTTGAAACTTATTAATACTACTTTCGTCATTCTATTAGCTCGAAAATTAACAAACACACACTGTGCGAATCTGAATTACTTCTGTTGTCAATCTTCGACTTTGCGTACCATCACAGTTTCGGTATCGTCACGGACATGACTGTATGTGTGTTGTTCCACTTTAATCAAATTTATTACAAACTTGGATCTTACCGTCAATTGAAACTCCAACTTCCACTCGAACTAATTGCAATCGACTTCTCGATAAAAAAGATTCTTCGAAAATTTCGCTAATTGTAAGAATTAGAATTGTAAAATTCTTATATATCCACCGTTTACAGTTTCTGACCAAATTTTAAACGCGTTATCTATTTTTAACCCTGACAGGTGTGACGCGACGAAAGCTTTTACTAAAAAAAAATCGAACTTACTTAAACAATCGATCTCCTTTATTTTGTACAGATATTCTACAAAAATAATATTCTCGAATGCCTCGAACTTTACCATATTCGTGCAGTACCTAACTACCGTACACATATACTATACATATAAATACATAGTATACATATACATACGTAGTCGTGAAACTTTACACGAGATGCAACGTGATCGAGTAAAATAACGTGTATAAAAATGACCGCCGAATAAGCTAATTAACTAATGGAAGTTCGAAACGTTTTTCGGTATATCAACGAAACCTTCATTAATTACACGAAACATTACTATCTAGTAAGATTGGATAAATATTTACTTAAAAATGATACGACTAGTGCGATAGATTGTCAAAGAATAAATAACGATACGATCGATTAATTTACAGCTATTATTTACAAGTATCGTGTAACGAACATCGGTTAAATAATTTTAATTGGTGAAAATGTACAGTTTGAGTAGATCATAAAATACTACTAGTCGTAGATACGGGTTCGTTCGTATTCCTTTCAAATGTGGAAGATGTGTTGGTCGTTTGTTCCGGTGCGATGGAGTGCATTCGATCGAGAAGAGGTCTGGACGTGGAGTCTACTTTCTTCAACGCGTAAGATTTACGAGGAACGTTATCGTTCGTGTTCCCGTCTTTGCTCACATTGTCTCTGCTTGCGGTGAATCGAAACATTTCTTTCGCTTGACTGATGGTATACCTAAACAAAATTTATGTAAATGTCGTCAATGTTCGAGATATATGGTATAACGTATTATACGTATGTATCATTTGTTTAATGTTTACAACCTCACGGAACGTTGAAAATTTGTGCTACGCGACTTTCCGTTGGGATGGTTTTCGCGTATCTGCGACCGTCTAGTGGTCCAGCTCCTCCCGGTTGTTTTCCTCCTTGTCTTACAGCAAAGCATTTGTCTGAATGCATGCCGATACTTTGCGCTCATTAAATTATATAAAATAGGATTGACTGTTGTACTGAAGTAATAGAGACATCCGCTCAGAATGTACAGCCACTCGTTCAAGTCGGGATAATAATCGGACTCTTGAGCGTAAACGTAAAGCAAGCGTTGCGCGTGAAACGGAGCCCAGCAAACGAAGAACAAAATAACTACGGCGCCTGCAATCATCGATCGTTAGACGTTTCACTCGCGCAACGTACAACGTACGCTATTAGGATTATCTACTACATTTCCGTATGTATAAGAATGATAGGACTGAAAAAAAAGAAAAGAAAAGAAAATAACAACGGCAAACAGTTGGATCTTACTCAACATTCTGATAACGGACTTTCGGGATTGCATCTGTCTCGAGTCTCCATGAATCGCGCCGCCGTGCGCTACCGAATGCAGCGTGTCCCGTGTACTGTTTCTTATCTTCCAACCTATCCTTGAGTAGACCACCAAAATCACCAGCATTGGTATAAAAAAAAATATGATACTGCTCAGCTCGTAGAGGGGAAAGTTGGGCATGTACGGTAGGAGCATCGCACAAATCGCCGAATCGGCCGAATAATTGTCCGAACCTGAATAATTTCATATTAATAGATGGACGTGTAACTATAACTGTAATTGACACGAGAAGAGTGCAATGGAATCGGTTGGTTAACCTGGCGGGTACTCGACCAAGTTGACTTTCGTGTAAATCGCGAACGGTATCGCGGAAACTAGCGCTATCGACCACGCAGCCAAGATGAAACGTATCGGTCGTTTAAGACCGCTTATCGCGTAAACGCGAAGCGGATGACAAATGGCCAAATATCTTTCCATGGAGAAGGCCACTATAGTGAGGACCGACACGTACGACGACCTACCGAACAGATGCAACGAATGTTGTTCATTTGAAGGAGTATGCTGCGATCGACTAGAAATTAACAGATGAATTACGTGATTCCTTACATTTCTGATACGTATGCTCTTATCTTGCAAAGCCCGACTCCTAAAGCCCACGGATACTGTTGCCAGAACACGCTCAGCTCGTTCGGCAATCCTAAAAGTGGTTCAACACATTTCGATAACGATCGATCGATTGTGATAACGACCGATCGAGGATATATTTTTTTTTCTTTTTTTTTTTTTTTCTTTACGATCACGTTGACGGGCAAACTACATTTTTACCGTGTATCGTTATCTGTGATTTATTTCCGTGTAATCGTGCAATCAACCACGTCAAACGTCCGCACCAGGACACGCAATGACTAAGACCCGCGCTAGTATCACCGCGGTACGCAAACTCGTTTTCCCGAAAGTAGATTTATGACCGATTCAAGCTCGGTAAGTAATTAACAAACTCCAAACTTTATCGCGCACTCGAAATACAAAAAGTATGCGGAAAATGAACATTTCAATTAATTTCCTTTAATGTACGAAGCAATTTGAAACAGACTAGTAGGTATCAACTTTTCCTAACTAGTATTATCAACCAATTATTTATCCGAGTAAAGTATTTTTCTTATGTAATAAGAATACTCTTGTTTTTTCCTTCCTTTTTTTCTTTCTGTGTTGTTTAGATGGGACCGAAAACTCCATTTTGTCTCGAGCTTCGCGGAGATACGATGCACGGCCACTGAATTTCCACTTTGCCATTCGGAACTTTTTCACGGAAACAAAACCGTTGACTTGATCGAGTTTTGAAGTTTATATAAACATTCGCGACGCGTTTCAACGAATTTCTCTCGGACAATGTAACTTTGCGGAAAACTGTTCAAGTTTTGATCAAATTCGCGTACACATTTCTCTTGATCTACGAACAGAATACGTTCCACCAAGATAGAAAATCCGGCGGATTTGCAGGGAAAAAAAGAAGAAGAAGAAGAAGAAGAAAAATATTAGATATTAAAAATATATAAATGAAAAAACGATAAAATGAATGAAAATGTCTCGTATTTCGCATACCATTAATGTGTAACGCGCGATGACATTCTATTGTAGTAAAGGTTTACAGTGTTTGTATAGTAGAGTAGACGAGACAGGTATCGGTATATGTAGAGAAATCGTATACGAAAGAAAGCACAAAGAAAGGTATCAGGATAAAGACCGTTTCAACGAGAATGTACATACCATGTACTACATACTACATAGTACACGTACACACTCACCCAGCACGAGTAGAGTAAGATCGGATATAGCCAGACTGAACAAGTAGTAATTGGTGGCGGTTTGCATCGATGGATTTCTGATGATGACGGTGCACGTGGTGACGTTCCCGAAAATCCCAGTGACGAATATCACCACATAAACTATCGTGAGGGGTATTACCATCCTCATGGGAAGATATTTGGGCCCGAGTACCTTGGTTAAGTACTCGGTTTCCGACAGATTTCTCAGGTCCCAATTCTTCCAGAAATCGTGCAAATCGCTCGTATCTTCGTTGGATGTTTCCATATCGATTATTCCTATGAAAAACAAATAATTCTCTCTCTACGTCGGACGAGTTTTCCCGATCAAGTTGAAAATTTGTTGATAGACAGATGTTGAATCAGTCTAGGAAGAACAGTTCGAGCGAGTCTGTCAACCATTTATTTTAACAATCTTTATTCGTATCTGCAGAAATAATTATCGCGGGTAAACAAAGCATTCCGTCGTGACTAGATAGCTTGTAGTCGAGTCAACAGATTGCGGTCCACGATCGTCGATCGTCAATGGGTCAATAATTGATGCTTCTACGTGAAATTACTTTGCTTCGATAAGGGAAAAGTGGGTTCGATTCAATCTTTCATTCCAGCTTGAAACGAAGCTCCCGCCTTGCCCTCGAAACGATTCAATCTGCCATTCGGACGTAAAATTAGACGTTAACTCCGTTACAGAGCCACACTTTTGTTTGATACTCCACCAAAGATTTCCATTTGTCTTCTCCGAGGTACGCATCATCTTGTCATCCTCGAATCGATTCCCGAACCGTAAATTATACTTTTCTTTCTTTTCTATCCGATTCTGTACAATGCACGATGGCAAACAACAGAGAAACGTGTCACCAACTATCTAATTGATTAAACTCGATAAAACACTCGCGGAAAATATCACGAATTTGACGTGACGAGGGCCGTTTATGTGTCGAAGGGAACACGTGCGTTAACAACAATCACGTGACACTGAAACCGAGGACAATAGAATAGAATAGAATAAAATTCGATCTTATTATAAGAGCATTGCACGTGGTAACGGATCGAAAAGCGACTGATTTTCGAACGTGTCGGTCGATCTCGTCGACACCAAAATAAATAAACGGAACGAAGGAGAAGAGGATGAAACTGTCGGTGTCGGGAGAGTGACTGGCATACACCGCCGCGACTAAACGTAGGATTCTTAGCGATACCATCCAACACCTTCGCCCGTCGTAACAACAGCCTCATCATCCTCCTCCTTCTCATTTCGCTGATAAGAAAATCGGTCTAATATACCGTTCAATCGTAGTAGGATTCCCGGTACATTCAATTAACGAGTTCGTAATTCTGTCAATCGCGTTGAATTCGTTAGGCACGATTTCATGTAAACGTAGGCTATTACACTGTTCTTGTTTTCGAGAAAAAGATGATAAAAATGAAATGAAGTAAGTAACTTACAATTGAAATCAGTTTGCATTTCTTAACGTTTCTTAAGTCGAAAAGAATTTCAATTTATTGGACAATATCGTTATCCAACGAAATTGATAACGTATATTACCTGACTTTTGAAAGAAATGTAATTACACAACCTAAATGTAATTAAAGTTAAAGAAACGATGTTGTACAACTCTCGATGTTGAACCATCCAGAATTGTATATTTACTCACCATAGACAATAACGGTAAGGTAGACAATGTTACAATACACGACAGATATAATGCGTATAAAAATGCAAAAATCATACTAGCCGATAAGTTTAATCAAATACAATACAACGATAATTGTCGTGATAACGTTCATTTACGTCAAACATGAAAATATTTTTATATCGATAAAATATATAATATAATTATATAATTATTGCAAAACAATATATTCGATCCTATCATGTTTGTAACTAAACAAGAAAACGATTATAACTAAAAATTCGTCGAAATGAATATTAACGTGGTTCGTTAAATATTTGTTGTATCCTTGTCGAACCTTATTAGAAAATGAATTGCAACGAAAAGCAAAATAAAATTTAATGATACAATATGAAAAGTAATCAAATATTTATTACATTTTTTAAGATTTTATCAAATAAATATATATTTGTTATTTATTGCTTATATAGTACTGTAATACAAATATCAATTAGAATCGGATTCGTCGGAACTTGTTTCGCTGGTGTTATCTATTCTATTAAAATTAAGCGATGATCTATTTGTATTTACAAAAATATCGTCCTCTTCGCGATCATTTTCTCCTTCGTGCTTGTTCATTATTCTCTGATTTAACATTACGGTTTCGTCGAATTCTTTTGGCCAACAATCCTGGGCGCGATACAATTTTTCATGTTCCTAACAGATAAGTTTTTTCTATTCTTTATAATTAGTTATTAATAAAAGTATGACTGTTTAAAATAAAACATACTCGTGTCAATATCTTAACGATCTCCGCCTTCACTTTATCCCCTTCTAGTATTGGCTCTACCAATACAAAATCTCCTCGTTTCACCCAGATGTTTCTTCGAAACTTGGTTGGCATAGACACAAGATATCGGTCTCCGGTCAAATCTACGACTTCGTGAAGATTATTACCGCGCGATTCGATTATCCGTACAATTGATTGCGATTCGGTAGGAAGACTTAGATCTTCGACTTCTTTAACGACATGTTTTCGTTTAGTTGCTTTGGACATTTTCCTCTGTAAATACAAACGTAACAACAATACAAAACATGTTATCATTTAAAAGTAAAGTAAACTAACGTAAACAACATTTTTATACATTTTATTGATTAATCGATAATACTTTGATAGCCGTTAAATGGTTTTAACTAAAAACACTATTTCTGTCTTTGATCTGCGTTATTTTACAATCGAGAGATTCTCTCCTCCTCTGTGTTTGTGTCCGTGTCTGTGTGTCGTGCCAAGATCCCAAGGATCCTCCTGTTTTCTCTATAGCCGAAAATACGTCCAAACTTTCCCCGAGAGGAATTTCATATCCATTTTTTAATCCATGACCATTCGAAGGTGTTTTACAGTCATCCCCTGATTCTTTGCGCAAAACGGTATCTACTTCTACGGAGGTGAAAAACGCTACCGACATTGGAAGGTCTTTCATTCCAAGCTTCGAAGCGCAAAAAGAACGTGTTAAAAGATTTGTAATATGCATGGCGAGCGCGGCGTTATATTTGTAACGCGACGGCACCAAATAGCGCACCTCGTCGTGGAACGATAAACAAAATCTTACGTTATCCTTCGTAAGCCACTTCATCGAAACTAACATTAGATGTAAGAAATCAACTGCTCCACTTTGAACTACCCAATTTACTTTAGTAGGTAAATATTTCTCATTATTTGATTGACTTTCTAAAGCGCGGGTTAATCTAGAATTTAGGAAGGGAGTTACGGGACGAGAGCTCTGAGCAATTTCCTCCAGCCTGTTGAACATTGCCGATTCCGAACCACCTATCCATTTACCGCTCTCAAACATCTCAGATACCGTTTTAGCGAATAGCTTTGATATTTTAGAAGCTTCGTAAAACGAATACTCTTTATCGTTCAGTTGATCGTTAATATGCTCAGCTTTCAATCTGTATACTTTTTTACCTTTCGTCATGGTGAACATTTTCCGAGATTTAAATGCAGCTTCTGCATCTGTCATGCATGGATTAAATTGCTTTAAAAGTCTTTCCGCAAACTTTTGTCCTGCACCATAAATTCTAGCATAATTTATGATCTTAGCTTGACTTCTCGATATTCCAATCGCTTTAGCTGTAACGCTGTGCATATCGGTTTCATTGGACTTGGTACCGATTAGAGTCATCCAACCAAAAGGTGTAGCTCCATGAATTTTTTTATAATAAGCATCTCCTATCATCGACGAGATCCACAACTCTTGACTGTCGACATCAGCTCCGATAATATTATACCCTGGTGGAGCTTGTATCATGGCTCGTAATTCCGATCCAACGCGTTCCGGATGAGCATTAGAAGCAGTCATCCACGTGGGTTCTACCGCTCGCCTAGTTAATGTTCCAGATACGACTACCAAAGGTAAAATAGCCCCGTAACGCATTGACTTTTTAGTATTTTTAACAGTGTTTGATAAGGATAAATCATCGAACCATATTACAAATTGTGACATGATCCTGTTCCTATTGTTTCTCCAATATGACATCATTTTAGCAATGTTTAGTACTTCTGTGGCGCTGCTGTCTAAACCAGCGAGAACATTTTCCGAAAACTTATTCAAAAAATCTTTAGCCAACGGATTACCAACATTATAATTTGCTCCATCTTTATGGGGCAATTTAAGAAAATAACAACAATTATCTACAACTGTGTTACACCAAATGGCGCTACCTTTATAAACGTGACTTAAACGATTACTGGATTTCTTTGTCTTAGAAGAATACCAAAAATCTTTCTTACATAAATTGCTTTCCACGTCGTTATCCAGAGTTGACATTGAACAATCTGTTCCATTGAATAAGCCTTCTGTTTGCGGTAAAGAACATTGAACCAGAAGCTGTTTCAAAGGTACTTTGGTTTCGATATTCGAATCATTGTTATAAGGTATCAAAATACCCCAACCCTTTTTCCTTATATAATGCAATGGATAACCCTCCCATGTCAGATTCAACAGTTTTGGTACAATCTGCATAGAAGTACTTATATTTTGTGGACCAGGTGCCCAGTCTTTATCATTCGGTTTTGAACAAAGTTTCCTATACCATGCAGGATATCCTGACATATGCGGTGGTTTCGTAGGTAATAGCTTCCTTGTTTCTTTCAAATATGCAAATTCTTTCTCCAGAGGATCTTCCTCGTCGTTTTCTCCGTCGGTCAAATACTTTTGCGCATCCGTTTCTTCTCTTTCCGTGTTTTCAACTTCATATTTCTTTTTACTATTTCTTACCGACGATAACGATTTCACCTTAACTTCTTGAGTACTCCAATCTTCGTCCCACATCCATAAATCTTCTTTATATTTTTCATCGTGCATGAGTTGACAAACAGCATTCGCTCTTTTAGCAAGAGTAAATTTAGTCTCGTAGTTTAAGTCTTCGAACGTAGATTCCGACTCGTTCAAATATCTGTGCCAATTTGAGTTAATGGGTAAATATGCTGTTCCAAGTTCTAACATTCCTGCTAAAGTAACAGGATGAGGAAATCTATCTTCGAAAATAGGAAATAAGTGGCATAAGACGTTATGTGTCGCCAACACGTCGTTTGCGCAATAGTTCATTAAAGATTTGAAATTTTCTCTTACATCTTTCAAACTTCCTTCTACGAATACATTTTTAAATTCCTTACTTATTTCGTTGCCACAATAAAATTTATGTATTTCTGCTAAACTATTTAAAGAGGTTTGCTGATGCAAATCAAATTTTTCTTCCGAATCTTTGTTCGCATTTAATATCGATCTTTGATAGCTATTAATCCCGCTAACAGAGATATGAAGCGACATTGTATCGATAAACCGTAATCCTGTACGATTCAACCAATATTGCTCTTTAATTTTACTTCTATCGAACGACACGTTATGACCTACCATAATTTTTGCTTTCTTATGATAATTATTTAATTTTTTTCCATATTCTGTAGGTTCGCTTTCCATTGGAATCAACTGATCCATATGAAACTGTTGCCCATCAAAATTTCTACTTAGACCGTCTGCCAAAGACTTGGATACCCAACCGTACCAAGCTTGGTTAGTTACAGCGGTGGCAAGTGTTGGTAAAGGTCCTTCTTTCATACAAACTTCTACATCCAAAATAATACCGTCTTCTAACGGGTGATTTACAGTCTCTATTCTATCGTGTGTATATCTAGTCCACCCTTCCTGTAATATCCATTGATTTGGCATTTTTGGAATACTTTTCATAATGTCTCTTATAATTGATATATATGGTTTAATTTGTAATTTACCAATGTTATAAAAGTGTTCCTCTATATTGTCTCCTTCCAAAGGAGGTAATTTAAGATTCACCTCCGGTAATCTAGTCGCATCTTCAATTTTAATTCCATACGATCTTAAATTGTCCCTTATAGATTTTACTTCTTCCTTTGATAATATTTCTTGATTATAAGAATTTTTGAATATCTGTTGGTATAAAGACCTTGAAAGCATTTGCATATTAATTCCATTGATTCTCGTGTTGTCATTATTATAGGTTTTCATATGCTCTTTTTCTTTTTCTAATTTTTGTATATTTTCACATTCCATAGCGGCATTAAATTTCTTATTACCTTCCTTTAAATTATGTATCCTAGGAGTAAACATTTGTTCAAAGTTTGCTGGTATACCAGGTGAATCTCCTTGTTGTTTATGCACTTCATTTTCATTCGATGAAACAATTGAAGCAGAGGTTAGACTTCTAAATGCATTATCTACATTTACACTATTCTGATGGTTTTTATTTAAGTTATCGGTGATGTCTGGAGAGGTTAGAATATCAGAATTGCAATGAGAGGAATTATGTTTTTTAGTATGAAATCCATCTTTCGAGAACTGCTGTCTTTCGAGAATATTAAGATTATGATTCGTTACAGAACACTTGTAACGACTGGAAATACGAATCACCCAACTTTCCATTTTTATTTTGCTTCTGGCATCTCGGTATTATTTCATAGCAAAGAACAATATGCTCAACACGTGACTTTATTATTATCAGCCCGTCTTATACAATTTAATGACAATAACGATTGTACTCAATGAAATCTTACCTGTCAGATTAAATTAATTTCTGATTATCATTCGGGAGATAATAAATATTTTCAATATACTACGATGTTTAGTCAAATTTGAAAAGAAATACGTGAAATATTTTGAACTCTTAGATCGCCATGTTAAATCTTCAAACGCGCAATTTCAAAATCATTCAAAAACCGTAATATAGCAAAGTAAAGAATTTCTGTTTATACCTATAAATTATGACTGTAATATTTATTACGTAGACGTTATATTCTTTTATCTCAACCACCATCCGTTAAAAACAGAAAATTTATTGATATAACGGAATGTACATATGACATATTTATGTACATGTACATATGTATGTATATGTGCATATACTTAGATCGTATAGAAATTTGATCTAAACGAACGGATAGAAATTAGAACATTTCTATACAAAAGAAATATTCTAGTTCTATTTAAGGACGTTATTAATAACAGACAAAGATGAACATAAAATTCGTATATATTACGAACATCATGCAAACTTCTTATTACGCGCTATAGTGATCACGAATCACGACGACATCTTCGTAGCGTCTGCCACTTTATTGTGTTCGTCATGGCTTCGACGGGTTAGTGTAAATTTAATATTTATATTTTATGATTTTCCAGCGAAATGTCTTTTTGAAAACGATTCAAATATTTCTAATAGATTTTAATATTCCACAACTGTGATTATTTTATCGTTATACATATAAAAACAATACAATTTCATTGCGGTTTTGCACTTGTCACTTTTGACACTTTTTATTCAATATTACGTAGAAACATCTTTAAATTTTAATAATAGCACCAAGATATTTTGTTTATTCAGAATCCTTGGTATGCGAGACACTTGATTTAAGTTGTCAAGGTCTTAAAAAGATTTCTCGTTGTCCGTCGGATGCAGATATCAGTACATTGATCATAGACGATAATGAGCTTCAGCGTCTTGATAATCTTGATTCTTATCACAGAATTACCAAGGTAATGTTTTCTATATATAAAATAAATAGTATAAAATTTCCTGGTCTGTCATTTTTGTATTATACTATAAATGTCTTGACATATATATTCGTATCATTTATATGCTAGTTTTGTGGTATGTATGGTATAAGTAATTATGGTACAAGTAATTATTTCTTAAACTAATTTAATATGAAATTTCAGCTTTCAATAGTAAGAAATCAATTATTACGGATGTACGGTGTATCAAAGTTACATAATCTTGTAACTCTTAATTTAGCAAATAATGGTATATTGACTATAGAAGGTATAAAGGATATGACAAATTTACAAACACTTTGTTTAGCTGGTAACAATATAAAGGTACGTTAGCCACAATTACTTGTATACAATATTATGATTAAATCATTTATTATGTATGCTTTTTCTATATCATTCACTTTATGTAGTCTATCGAGCACTTGCATACAAATATCAAACTGGAGCATTTGGATTTGTCTGAAAATAGCATCAGTCATATCTCAGACATTTCATACCTACGAAATTTAAAGGTAATATATGTTTAACTTATTGTCATCGCGTCAGTTCTTGTTCTCTTGTTAAACTAACAATGTATTAACAATTAACTAAGCAATTTTTCTTGCAAATATAATAATATTGATAACATTTTAGGAACTTTTTTTGCACAATAATCGCATAATAACATTACGACAATGCGAACGCTATTTACCCACTTCCTTAGAAACGTTTACATTGGCAAATAATAATATTACAGATTTGAATGAAATGTCACATTTAACTAATTTAAAGAATTTAGTAAACTTTTCAATTGCTAATAACCCATGTGTCGTTATGACAGGTAACAGTATGTATCCTTTTTATTATTTAAATATTACATTCGCGTCTGAATTTGAGATGTGGATTAGTGAAATATTATAACCATATTTTTTACATAATACAGACAAAAACATGCAATATTTTACTATATTTAACGTTATTATATATACTTAGAATTATGCGTTTTTAATAAAATAATGTGCTTGTAGAAAACTAGATACGAAACAGCACCATTTGTATTAATTGTAGACTTACAGCTGTAGCTTATTCTTCTTAACAAATAGCTTATAGTGGGTTCGATTATCGTCCATTTGTTATCAATTGGTGTATGAGCTTGAAATCAATTGACGGCTATCCTGTTGATCCTATCGAAAGGTGGGTCTATGTTGTGAAAATATAATTATTTTATATTTAATTTAATAAACAAAACTGTATTTGTTTAAAAAATCAAAATTCATTTGGAACAATGGCCACTCAGTTTAAAGGCAGAGTGGCTATATTCTCAGGGTCGTGGTAGACAATTCCGTGTTGGCGAACATACAATGCTTGCTCAGTATTTAGCATCTGTCTGCCCTCTTTCCGGTGAGTCATTAGAAAATGAAACTGACAGGAAGCTTAGGCTGATTTTGAGTAAAGCACAACATCATCAACAACAATTAAATCAACAAAGCGATGCCGGAAGCGTGCACAGCTTAAGTAGCGTCGGAATGAGTCCTTCTCCAGCCACTAGGCGTAGACTTAGTCATAACAGGACAAGTTCTCCTAGACGTGCCAGTGAGTCTAATTGATCCTTCCTTTTATTTTTGCGAATACAATCAGAAACCATTTAAAGTTTTCTTACTTATAATTGTAAACGTGGACTTGTAGTAATGTACACTTTCCAGTCGTCATACACATTATACATGTTCTAGTTATAATGTGTTTTCTCTAGTTGCGCCAATGTTGACATACTATGAAGATAAATGCTTACAATCACCAAAATTTTATGAAGCAAAGTACTGTGTGTGCCATTCGCCTTGTAAAGGTATCCAAAGTCAGAATGAGGATTTATCATACATGGCTATAATTGCATAATAAACATGTGTACAAATTTAAGACAAATTTCACTCATATTTCAATGGAACTGAAACTGAAAATTGTTTTGGTAACATTTAAGAAAGTGTCATGCGTTACAAAGAAATTTGATCTTGGATTGATGCACATGTTTACGTCTTTCATACCTAGTACGTAGAATGATTTTAAGTGACTGCTTTTTTAAGCTTATAGCGCAAATTTGTTGGACTTTGGAGAATGAGAGATAAAACAGTGTTATGACAGTGATGCTAATTAGAGGATTTGGTTAGCAAATTATCATTTGACGATTTGGAAATACATTTCACATAGTTCACATTTCTTATAATTGTTTATCTAATCTTTAGTCAAATATCATTTGCACGCTTTTGCTAGCAAAGCTAGCCCCAAAACATTTAAGTGTAAAAGACAACGCATATTATTATATGAAATAAATTGCAAATATTTCAAGTACATGATATTTAATTAGGTTCATCGAGAAACTCATTAAGAATAAGATCACCAGACAGGATGATAGCTAGTTGTCACACTGATCCTATGGTTTCCTCGTGCCACACTCTAATAAATGACAATCATGAATCGCTAATGACTCAAAGTTTAGATCCAAATATGCTTTGTAGTACTCTAAACAATAAAGCTGGGAATATGGCTGCTTCGCAAACTATAGAAGGTAAGTCAAAATCATTACTGGTTCCTATTTGTCACATTTTACAAAGAAAAAATCGATTTACAGAAACATCCAGTCCTCTACAAGCTGCAACAAAATTAGTGCCAGTTCCAGAATCTTTGATGAGTCCAGATTTTCGTCCACCTTCTGGTCTTTCACGAATTCTACCAAAAACACCACCGAGTAAATTAACGTCACCATGTCAAATTACAATGCCTAGTAAACCCACGTCCGATGGAGACGGCAAAGCTATTCCAATAATAAACACAGTAAATCCAATGGCAAAAACGAATCTCAGTTCTGTAAAAGCAAATGCACTTGTAAAAAGTAATTCTGCAACAAATTGCAGTGTTGGAAAACCAAATATCGCTAAACCAATCGTCACAAATGCTAATAAGTGTCCTCATAGTGTGAAAATTAATAATTACGTTCAGAGTAAAACATTGCCTGTAAAACGAAGTACAAAAAATTCACCAAATTTAGGCAGAAACATACAAAGGGCCAAAAGTGCGAATGATAGAATTAAAAGTGGTGGAATTAAAAAAAGTGGAGATGGAGATGCAGGTAACGCTACTCAAAGTAGCGATGAAGATAGTGAAGTGTGCCAAGCAAAATTGGATGGTATACGTCATAGAGCCATTCAAAGAAGGCAGGAGGACAATAATAAAGGTAAAAGCTTTTCTAAAATTACAGTTTCCAAGAATATAATAATATACTACTATTTTACTATATACATTATTATACTCTGTCCTTACATTATTTCATTGAAGTGTAACTTTTTATACGACGTAAAACCGATTTAACGCTTGCGTTAAATTTCCACGCAGAATGAAGTAGGAAAGAGAATGTGCACCCACTTTTTATATCTTAAGATCTTATTGCAAATTTGCAGCCATTAGCTCGCTATTACTCGCGACGAAGAAACGTTCGAAAATCTTTCGTTTTAAGATGTAAGAAGTTACACTTGTAACGGGCGGCATTCCACGCACCCACTTTTTTAATGCTTCTTAACTAGATCAAGATGAAGCTGAAAAAGCAGCAATTTGCATACAAAGGATGTGGAGAGGCTATCATACTAGGAATCTCAATAAGAAAGCAACGAATATATTAAAGGCTATCGAAATGACCAGGACGAATAAATACATCCAGTATGATTTTCATTCTCTCATTGCCCAGAAACAATATATCAAAGATATTTCAAATTTATTATATTTTATTAAATTTTTAGGAAACTTTCCACCGATATGGAAGCTACTAGAACAGCTTTGGAAAGTGAACATAAATTGCAATTACTACAAATGCAAGCAATTAACGCGTTATGGAAAAAAGTTGTTAGTCTTCAACCTAGTGGTAATCGAGATTCTGCAGGCAACGATAATGAAAACATTACACAAAATGCAGATGTCGTGACTAATTTAGCACAAACATGTAATTTGTTACACACTCAGGTAAAATATCAATTACGCGTCTTTAATAGTTTGTTTAATAATTTTATTTTATTACGTTACATAATCTCTAAGTAGTCGATGCATGTTTAGGTTCAACAATTACAAGACTCTATGTCAGAGATAAAACGATGTATGTCGAATATGCAATCAAAACCAATTCTTATTGATAATGGTGTTGCAACTCAAACAGAAATATCTGCTGTTCATACACCAGCAGGTGAAGAAAATACATTTCCTTATGCACGCGCACATAGACCACAAACATTGCCTATTCATCAAACTATTCATGAAGGAAACGAGAATAGAAGTTTTGCGTCTAATCTAATTGACAGCGTGTTAAAAAAAGTCTCCCAATCTACTGATACAACTGATGATGAAGTCAATACTGACATATTAAATTCTAATGAAAATCCTGAATTGTTGAATTCAAATGAACATCCTGATATGTTCAAAAGTTGTGAAGAAATTGTTGAATCCGACTTCAGGGATGTAATGGAACACGATGTTAAAAATGAATATGATGTAATCGAAAATACTGTTATAAATGGTGAAGTTTGCGAGGAAACATTATGTAAAGAGTTACATCACTTAATTGAAACAGAAATTACGACAGAAAACTGTAAAAATGTTGAAAAAGAAGATAGTTCAGAAGAAGTTGACAGAGAAGAACTTTAATCTGAGAAAACGCAGAGCAAATAGTAAGGAAGAGATCGAAGGTGCAAAGTTATAAGCTATGAATAGAAATTATGAAAAAGAAATGGGAATTCCAGCGAATAGTGTCCAACATACGGCTGAAATTAATACATGTAACTAAAAATGCTCACTGTACATAAGTTCAAAAAGTAGTCTTAATTGTATTGGGATAACAAAGTTTTATCATTTTAGTCGCACAATATTTCCTACAATTTATAACAAAGGGAAATTGGATACTTTCATCAAAATTTGAAAACTTGTTACAACATAAAGTTTAAAAAAAAACACACACACACAAGTACCAATAACATAATATTAACAAACAGTGTTGATAAACAATTTTATCATACATTGCCGTGCATTGTGGTTATTGAAGCAATTTAAAAATTTTTCCGTCCACATATCTGGCTTCTGAAAATTTCATCAATGCACAAACTGTGTATTAATAACGTTGTATATCGTACAAAGCTTTGCCCCTTCTTAAAACCAACACAATGTTGTACAGAATGAACTATGTGTTTGACACCGTGAATTCCAATGCCGTTTGTCGATTCTCAGATTGAAATAGTTATAGAAGCATAGAGAGAACTTTGATATGTAAACTTATTCCTTATTAAATGCAGAAGAATTTTTCGTTTTGCTAAGAAATTGCCTGAATAATATTAAATAGGTAATGATTATTTTTATGTATTTATTTATTTATTTATTATTAAAAAACGTGAGCTCTAGTGAAAATTAATATTACTGTCGAAGGTGTTCGATAATGGAAACATTCTTAATCTAGTCATTGCGATAACTTGTATGCTTGTAACCACTGTAGATAACTGAATTTGTTACATAGGTATACAGTGTTATTAAAACAAGAAAACTTAAACCTTTCAACAAAACCGGATGATTAAAGTGTTAAAATAAAGCGTGAGTTTTTAATTATAGCCAAAATTGCATTTAGTGATCTTTCATATGTGGGTACATTATTTAAGTTATTTTTTATTAAAAAATATTTAGATGTAATAAACAACCATTGTTGTAAGAATACTGATGTAATGCCAGAAACTATGTGTGAGCTCCTACCAAAACTTAAAAGACATTTTATTGCTCAGACTTGTTAAGAACTTGACATAAATGTTCAATAAATGAGCATACACTGAATATTTGTTTATAGCAATATTTACTGCGACGTAATTGTCTGATTCTTTTATAACATTTCTTTTGTTTTTCATATAAAAGAGTTACATATAATAAAATCTGTCAAATGTAATAGGAAACATGCTTCGTGTGCTTTTTTTTTTATACGGAGTAACTTTTATTGGTTAGGATAAATTTATCTTCGCGATAGTATGTTGAATGCATACAATTCTATCAGCTGCATTCTTCTTAAATGAAAGAAAATTTGTATTAAAAATATATTTATTTATATGCTGTGTGTCAAATTTGATACTTTCTCTTATATGAGAAAATGTTTCAGGTTCTGAGAATTACTGTCAATAATAAAATATAAAAATTAAATAATATATGAAAACATATTGTGTATGTAATACATTTACAAAATTGATTAAATACCACTAGTGTTTAATATAAAAATATTGATGCATATGTAATATTTTGCTATATTTACAAATATTTTATAAAATGTCTTGTTCTTATTTGAACATTCTTTGACATGATGCTTTTTCAATCGCTAGATATGAACTCATAACTTTTTTCACTTTTTCTATTTCTATTAAAATGTCCTTATTATTGGGGGATATTGACGATGCCCGTTTTAAGTCTCTCAAACCTAAATCATATTCATTTAATCCCATATATGCTTGACTCCTACGAAATAGTGCTTTACTATTGTTCTTATCCAACTGTAAAACCTAAGTAAAAGATTGATGTTAAGTAAGAGTTGAAGCTACTTATGTTAGTACATATAAGAAAAGCTCACCTCTGTACATAACTTTAATACTTCACGATGTTTCTTTGCTTTTAATTTAACAGCTGCAAGATTAAGCAATAGAGCCATTCTAGTATTTATTAGCGTTTCATTACAAGGTTTTGATATATCCACTGTCTTGAGCATCCACTTATAGTAACGTAATGCTTTCTTATATTTCCTGCCTGCATCCACATAATTCTTTTGTGAAAAATAATCATTTCCTGAATCTTTTATCTTTCTGATAACTTCCGTTATGTATGTGTCCTACCATTATTCGGGAATACTATTAAACTATTTTATTCCCAGTCACATTTTGTTTGAGTATAATACTCACATCGACTCCTTTGATATTCATACAATAATCCCAATCTTCCGGCCATGGGGTAAAAACATCTTCTGTGCCATCATTTTCTTCCAATCCCCAATCCTGACCTTCCTTTAATTCTCCGCAGTTTGTTATGTGTATTTTCTGCAATAAAATATAGCAAACTTGGAATTAATTCAAATATGAACAAATAATATAGAGATTTAATTTTTACCTCGACTGGAACATCCTTTACTGTAGACACTTGAGATACTTCCAATATAACTCCCATCCCTTTCAAAACTTTCCCAAAAACTACATTGGTATTATCTAAATGTGTACTAGCCGAAATAGTAATAACAAATTGAGAACTGTTGCTATTAGGATAACCCTCGTTTACCATACTTAATAATCCACCTGATGTATGCGAAAGTTTAAAATTTTCATCTTCAAATTGTGCTCCATATATACTTTCTCCACTTGTTCCATCAAAATTTATTATGTCCCCACCTTGGATCATAAACTGTGGTAACACTAAACACATAAACACAAACATTGTTTCATTGATAATGTCATATTCAATATATTATCTTTATTAAGTATGTATCACGATCCTTTTCATTGTACCTTTATGGAATATTGATCCTTTGTAATGTAATTTTTTTCCATTAATCCCAATACCTTTTTCTCCAGTACACAAAGCACGAAAATTTTCTGCTGTTCGTGGTACAACATCTTTAAAAAGCTGTATTACAACTCTTCCAACTGCGTTGCAGTAACAAATATATCATTAAAAAAATCTTAATGGAATGTGTTCGAAGTTGATAGTAATAAAATACTGTCTCAGCTAAAATTCGACTTACACTACTTCTTCGTGATCGTAACCCCATATAATGTATTACCTTTTTCTGATTCAACTGCTATATCCAGGAAAACAATTGGATTATCATTAATACTACTAGTTTCATTCTTTAACGAGTCTTCCATATCTTATTTAATAAATATTTGTATAATCGTTTTTTAACGATCGTTATTTACTTTGGTTTACGTGGGTTACGTTTACGTATAATTCTTCTGTTGCAACGAGTGAAACGAAGTAAATATACGAATCGAATACATATGCATGCATGTAAAACATAGTGCTGCCCTCTGCTTATTCGTATATTCTATGATTCTATCAGAAATTGTTACTATCGGTAACAAATGTTTCACTTAGCAATTTTATAAATAGTATATCATAAGATAATGGTAACAATATTATTTCAAATTTAATTGAAAATAACAAATGTCCTTTGATTTTATCATTTTCTTAGACTAGCAAAAATAAAGGTCCCACCGAGATTTGAACTCGGATCGCTGGATTCAGAGTCCAGAGTGCTAACCATTACACCATGGGACCCTATCGTATCACTCTCTATCGATGTTATATAATTACCAAAAAATTGTATTAGAAAAGAAAAAAATATTAATACAATTTTACGTAAATACTAGTAATTTCATATATCCGACTTTTGCAATATATTCTCTTACGTCGACTTTGTTAGTATTGCATTTATCATGGCAGGGAATAATATATTAACGCATATATGAATAGAAAACATAAGACACATTAATTTTTTATATTATTATAATAAGTATAACAATGAAGTTTGAAGTTTTTGACAGTATAGCATATAATGTATATCGCTTTGCAATAATTTTTTTTATACATTTATATGTGTGTGTACATACATATACATACACATCGTACATATATTTTATGATTAACTTATACCTTTAAATTCAATAAGAATTGTCTCTATAAATTATAGTAATATACAAACAAGCAATTCGGATTATCAGTACACAGATCACGTATAATCAAAATTCTAAAAGCTTATCTAATACTAGAGTGTATTACACAGTTATCGCTATTATAATTCTTACACTTTGATACCAGTTTGAGAACAGTGATTATATGTTTCTTTTTCCAAAATAAATTTTTGTACTTGTAACACCAATTTTATCAGTAATAAACTTACATATACATGTCCGACGTTAAAAAGCTTATGTTTAAGCAAATAACGCGTAAATTAACAATATTTCACATAAAAGCATTGTTCATACTATTTGAGCAATAAAAATTTACATTTTACTTTATCTGTGTAACAACAAATAAAATAATGTGCAAATACTATCTTATGTTTTCTTTTTACTCTGTTTCATTTATCTCACGTATAAGCGAGTTTGGCTAATAATCTTAATAATTTTAATAACTTTTTCTTCTAGTAATGGAATAATATGTAGCCAATATAAAGTAACGTTTTTTTAAAGGGTGTGGATTATATATTATACAAATACAACCCCAAATAGAAATGCTGTTTGTTCTAAAGCCAAGTTAGATAAAAGTGCAGGTTTAATGGCTTAATAAAAAAAGAGTAAGCGTTCTTGAGCACTTCCAGGTAGTAGTCTCCAACCACGTTTAATGTTCAAGTATTGAACAATTGCCCGTGCACAAATCAAAATACCTAAAATATTTAAATATAAAACATTAATAAAATTTCCTTAGTATCTTATTTCATAAAGACAATATTAATTTGAATGAATAGTACACGTGAGATGATACATACCAAATCCCATTATCAACCACCACAGCCATGAATTTTCACGCGATGCAAGGTCGGTGGAATGTTTAACAATCAATGTCCATTTTGTTAGTGATAAGCCAAAACCAGATAATGCTCCGTATCGTGATGCAATTGTGTGACAGAAACACATCAGAAGTAGAAATCCGATCCAATTAAACAAAAATGCAACTGTAACGAATAAAAAATGTTTCCTTTAGAATCATAATTAAAAGAATAAATAAATATTACAACTTACCCAAAAAAGCTGTAAAGAACATAAAATCGGTACCAAGTAAGCCACTTTCTGGATCACCTTCCGTAGCTTCAGTATCTACAGCAAGAATTGCTACAGGTTGTTGCAGTCCTCTGAGTTGAGAAAGCTATGGAAATAATAATAATACATAGTAATGCGATGATCTATTTTATACGAATATTTATATTGTTAATAATCTGTACAAATACTATATCAAATTACTGTTCGTAATTCTGGATGATGTTCGCCTTGCAAAGTTTTTTCACGTTGAACTTCTTCATAACTGGGTAATTTTGTAGCTACCTCGTAAGGTGGTGGAGCTGAAAAATCTGCCTTTGGAGGTGGTATTTCTTCTCCTTCAGCCTATAATTCTTTCATGTTAATACAAGTTTTTCCAAGACATAGAATAACAAATTTTTATCATACCATTCGATGTTCAATCGAAGTGTGAGCTGTAGCAATGTTTCCCGAGCAATTGATCATATCGTTTTGTATAATTGGTAGCGACACGGTTAACGTAGGTATCTCATTTTGAGATGATGGTTCTCCATTCGAATCGCTATTTGTATGCGAAGGCTGAAATAGAATTACGATTGCTTATTTTTAATGTTTGATATTAGCGACGTGATCCACCATAAACCATATGTACATGGTATTCAGTGTTGAGGATATTAAAAGAATATAACAAAGTAAATTAAAGAAAGTTTTCAATTTATTTAATCTTCTATATTAAACTGCATAAAAAAAGAAAGAAAAGTAAAAGAACAAAACAAGACAATTGTCGATCGGTGAGAAGAATGTTTTTCTCGGGTTTTGCGTATCAATGTTGTGTACCATCTATATTATAATACATGATGATAACGTGTAGCGTATGTAACATCTGTTCGCTAAATGGAAAAGTGAAATTACGTCTGTCGTTAACGGATTGTAAACTGTCCAGCACTGTCTTTGAAACATCACACATGAACAATATTTATTATGATCCGCAACATTTACAGAACATACCATATTGTAACGAATATTACTGTCCATTCCTGGCGAAATTTATACGAAGTGCGTGTAAATAATTCTAATTTTGTACAAGGAATGAAAAGTACTGTTTTTGTACGTAATGCTGCTTTCTAAGGCAGCAAAAGTTCTTACAATCGATGGCTGACAGCTGGCTAGGCTGTACCGCCGTGATATTAGATTTCCTTCTAAAGCTACGTCTATCACTTTCAATTCTTTTCTTTCTTCATCATCTATACTAATAATTGAATTTTGTTTGTTCTTCAAAGTCACGTTCTTGTATGTATCGAATATAAAAATTTAAATAACTCGATTAAAATTCGCTAGAAAAATAAAAGTAAAAGAAAAGTTGGAAACTAAATTCCAATTGGTCAGCAACAAATTATTATTGGAAATCAGGTCGTAGGACGGGAGTATAACAAACCAAAGTTTTTCTTCTTACCGGAAATATGGGATTAATAATTAATAATACATTGGTAATATAATTTTCAGAAAAAAACATTATGCTTTTTTTAAATAATAAAGAATTGTATGTTTATAAGGAGTAATTTGCCAATTGAAATTTTAAACGATAGAGAGAGAGACGCTCGTTTGAGTCACGCCCTTTGGAGGGGGTAATTTGGTTCACGTCGTGATGCACAAACGACGCTCTACTCGTCAGTCAGTTGCTTGCCGATCGTGAAGCAAGTACGAGGGTTTTATTATGTCGGAGGTTTTCAAACTGGGTGATCTAGTATGGTATGTAGTCGTAATGTGATAGTCACTGAGTGTTTGTAATAAAAATAGTGAAATGAATGTAATAGTGATCATTAATCGTCGTTTTGATCAATTTCAGGGCGAAGATGAAGGGATTTTCTCCTTGGCCTGGTCGGGTAAGTTCGAGTTAACTGCTAACGGTTCTGTGTTAACTATACTTGCGCTTTGCCGTACGCGCCACGAAGTCAAACGCGGCCATAGTATTTGGCGGGAACATGCCCAGTATCGTGTTCCAGTTGTCGAATTACACATTGTAATGCCGTGAACGAATATTTTTAATACAATTTGTCGACGCCACTGTTGGCTCGCATTGCATATCTCCCGCCACACCCGACCTTCGAATTCGAATTGGCGCGCAGGCTACGAAAATATAACCTAAATTATGTTCTGTGATTTCATAACTTGTCACGATGTTCCGAGAAGGAATAAAACTTGCGTGTCTACATTGCACGTATACACAGTTCGTTTGTGCTTCTTACAGAACAGATTAAAACACTACGCCAGTCCTTACGGATCGGCGTTTCTATGTATATAGGCTGACTCGGTCCCTACGAATCACGAACCGGCCACAGTTGTACATTTTCTGTTTATGTTACATCCGCCGATGCCGACGCCGACGCCGCCGCCGCGCTCGTCTTTTTACATAAATGATTATTAACCTTTTTTTCATTCAATTCTTTACCATTTTCGATTGAGACTTAAAGTTTTTTATTTACTATTATAAAATTCGACATATCATTTCTTTCTTTTTTTCTAAATTTCGGTTTAGCTACATTCTCTTGGTATCTTATAAGAGATACTTTATTCTATCGTATGTTATGTCGTTTGATCTAGAAAAACGGCATTTGCGCAGAAGTGTTCAATAAAAATTTAGAACCAAACCTTTAGAGCCACTATTCAGCTTCGTTTCTCGTTTTTTTATCTTTTGTTTATAGTTCGCGCACTGCGTGCGGCTCTCTCCGCTTGACGGTAGAGTGCGGCGTAAACAAAATGTTACGCAAAATAAGTTTCACGCTTAATGTATTAATATTTAACGTAGTGTTTAGGAATAGAATAATTCAAATTTTTTTCATTATTTCACTATTTATAAACGGTGTACTTGTTGAATATAATTCACGCGGTAATTACAATTCTCGTATCGTGTAAATAAATTTGAAAGGTCTAATACCTACGATACAAATACAATTCATTTATAATATAATTCTTTAATTTGCATTTATTCTACATAGTATTTTATATGCGGGAATAGGAAATATGAAACAGTTGTATTTGTTCTTTCAAGTATCAAATCTATTATTTCTAGTCACATGTTTTATATAAATTTTTTTTATATTTATACTTTCTGAATCGAGGAAACAGTGACACATTTTGAATAAAATAGTTGACATGAAAAAATTGAAATAACGAAATGTGCGTCTATATAAATATTTTGTATGTAACATAATAATTCGTATTACATTTACTATTTTAACTGATAGATTATGTTTGCAAATTACAATTTGCATCGTATATTAATTTTCCCATGACATCTTAAGGTGTCTAATCCTTCAAAGGACTTAAAGAAACCAACAAATACTAAGAAGGGACCAGTTCAATGTATTTTCTTCTTTGGAACAAATAATTAGTAAGTTTTGAGCATGTATCTTACTTTTTATATTTCTTTATCCATCAACTTTCAAGACTTATATGAATATTTTTTGTAGCGCATGGATAGAGGAGTCCAATCTAAAGCCATATCTAGAGTACAAAGATACCCTTGTAAAATCTAGTAAATCTGGTGCATTTAAAGATGCGGTAGAAGCAATAGAGGAATTTATTGCTAACGGAGAGGTAAGTCGCTTAATAATTGAATATTATTCCATACAGATTTAGATATAACATCGAATATAATTGAATAAAATTTGTAGTTTTTAATACTGACATACTCTAAAATTTACTATATATTGTACAGAATTTTCGGATGCCACGATATTGTTTGCTTTAGGTATTTGAAGATGGCTTAGACCCAGATTCCTTATTCGACAGACTTAAAGAAGTAGGTTTATCAGAGAAGAAGAATATAGTGAAAACATCCAAGCCTCGTAAGGTTAGGTTTATACTATAAATTAAAATCTTAGAAACTTAATTTTTCCCTTTATATTTGCTTTGCATGATAAACATTTAAGGTGTGTTATTAACGATACAAAATTAACATGTAAATGTATTCTGTGCATAGCTAAATTATGAAATTTTTTATTTAGGAAACACTAAAAACTAAAAGATTGGACACCAATGGGAGCAATGTTCGTCGTCCAGCCAAAAAGCTACGTGGGGAATCAAGTACAAGTAACAATTATAGGGTTGGCAGTGTTAGTCCTCCGGTACACCATTCTACTCCTTTCAGAAAATCAGGGTCGACGCTCCTGAATAGGCCCGCAAATATTGCTAGACCTGTAAGTATGAAATATTACTATTCGATAATAATAGAAAAAAAATTTCAGTTTTTAATTGCATATCTAAAATAGAAACGTCATAGCTCTATTTGATGTATTAATTCCAAAATATTTTTTTGGAGCTGTAAGCTTTTTGTGCATACAGCAGACGTTTTTAATGAGGTATTCAGTTTTAGTAGAAGCTACGATACATACTCTTTAAAAATAGCCAATTCCTCTTCATCTTGACCTATTTATGTGAATAAATAAATAACAACAACATTATACCTTCTTTGATTCCTTTCCATGATAGTACACTTAGTATTGTTTATTTCAAATTTTAAAACATTAAAACATTGTTTCTTGTTACATGCATGTACATAACTGCATGCTCCTATACAAAAATGCAATTCTTAGGATATGCTTTCATTCATTTATGATCATTATAAATATTATACATGAAATCTAATGTAAATAACAACATCGCGAGGGAATTATTGCATACTACTTACAAAAAAATGTTATCGTTTCTTTGAATATATTAATCATATTCGCGATTCCGGGTATGGGTACGGACGGTCGACGTGTTAAAAATTTAGTAGAGTGCTCGTCAGAGTTACGAAAAAGTTAGTCGGTATGTGGTATTTTTGCTTTATCGTTAACGAAAAAATACTTGTAGCGTTTCTCCCTTTTGATTTTTTGTTTTTTTATTGATTTCAAGCTTTTGGAACTCGGGCAAAATTGTTGGAAATTTAATATTTTACTACCTTTTATGGCAGGTAACACCTCCATTAGACGTGGAAACATTATCGCAAACTCTTAAAGAGAAAAACATCCTTCCGTCGACCTTGAAATTTGGGTTCCTTGGTTTGGGTATCATGGGTAGCGGCATCGTAAAAAATCTGATCAACAGCGGACACAGCGTAATTGTGTGGAATCGAACACAAGAAAAGGTATGTACCCTTCAGTTGTTTCTATATAATACGATACGACAATATTAAAATTCCACAAATGTGGAACACGCAGTCACTGCAAAGAGCTACGACGAATGCCCTTGAGTGATCGCGGTACGAGAAAAACTCGTCTTTTAAATCGTGGACTCGTTTGGGTTGTCGTATTAATAATACTATTATTCGTTAATCGATGTGTCATGAAATTATATTCTGACCAATAATATTTTTTTTTTTTTTTTTTTTTTAACAATTTTACCCGCTAAACGTAAATTTCATTAATGGGCTTTTTCTCCAGCTATACCTTCTATTGTGGAACGTTACGTTGCAAGATTTCATTTTTCGCAAAAGCATTTGAAATAATTTATAGGAAAGAAAGTAGTAAGATAGGGGAGAAAAATAATTCTAGAAGTAATCTTGTTTATTTAATTATCCTGTAAATTGAGCACGTTTTCAAAATAATTTGTTTGCTTAAAATATAACGGATAACGTTTATTATAATTGAATGAAAACGTTAAGATGATTATGAAAAAAATGAATTATTTGTCGGACGAGTGAAGAGTACAGGGACAGGGGTACTAGAATCATAGAACAATTCAACAATTCGTTGTCCTGATCGAACCTTTTATTCGATGAAAATCTAGATATTTATCTGTTGAAAGTTTTAGAACTTTTCATTTTCTGTTTTGCAGTCGGAAAAGTCGTGATGTAAATAAAATGTTTTCGTTTTCTTTAAAAGTATCAATATTATTTCTATCATAGTAAATGTAGATTTACAAATTTTTGTTTGCATTTGTAACATGTATTTACCATTAGAAAATTTATTTACAAATACAAAAAAATACAGACTACCAAAAGTACTAAAAAAATTTCGCGAAAAATCGTGTTTTCGTTAGAGGAACTTTAGGATATCGATAAGTTGTTATGCAGTTCGAGTAATCTAATGCAACGAGATATAGTGTACACGCGCGTTATCTTTCTCTTCGCTAACACAGTACGTAATATCTTCCTTGAGAAATGCGTTCATGGTGTTTACTTCACAGCCTGCTTTTGACGAGTGGTTTTCAGATAAAGTACGTTTGTTTCCACCTACCTCATATATCTAAGAGTAACACTGATTGTTTAACGGTGACGATCAACCTTACAGTTAATTTTGAAAACCATTCAGAAGATCGCATCATCCCTGAATACAATATAGTATTATCGATAAAGAAACGTTTACAAGGGTCGATTTACCGGGTGCCTAATGTGATTTCATTTGTTCAGCCTTTAATAGTTAATAGTGTAATTAAGTAACGTGTTCTCGTGCCCTGTTACTTTGAGGAATCATCAGACTTGTAAAAGTTACCATAGAAATAATCTCTTTCTGTATTTTCATTTGGATGATCATCTACATCTGATATATATATATATATATATATATATATATATATATATATATATATATATTCATTTTTCGAATTGTGGCCTCGTACTTCCAACGAGATAATTACTCGAGGATAACAAGCTAAATTTCACAACGGTATATGCAAAACGTGAAAATTGATAAAAATGTTGCATTGCTCGTTTAATAATACATTTCTGACAATAAATAGAAACTAATTAAAACCAGCAATATGGAGATAATTTCTCATGTTTCTGCAACTATCAGTCGCGAGTAATCTGTAACAAAATAGTATTTTAAGAATAATAAGTTTGCACGGAAATACAAGTATCGAAAATTATGGACTTGGCCGAGTGGGATTTCGGAAATTTTTGTTCGCATACGAGTGGGTCTCTCGGATACCCACATACAAGGACATACAAGGTCCGATAAAATGTTCAGATTATGAGAATTGCATTCTTCATAGACGATTACTATGATATTTTTTCGAAATTGTATACAGGTTGGTCCTTTAGAAATAGGACACTTTGATTATAAATGGAAAATTTGAAAGTATCGCTGGTCGTAATTTCTTGAATCAGATAGAGTAGGACAACACTGTAATTCGTTACACTACCAAACTGGAATACTATTATATATAAAATTTAAATATCGCGCAGATATTGTAATTCTCCCAAGTAGGCGAAAATAGATTTACAATCGCTAATTGAGATCTTGCGAAATATTACTTTTGGCTAGCCGTCGCTAAGACATACAAATTTCCGTCAATCACCGAGTAATACTAGACATTATTTACTTTGTTAACAATTGTTACACGTTACACGTGATTGAACAAGTTTCCGATAACGTAATTTGTAACGACAGTTTCTTTAGCCTGGGAACTGGCTCGTATTTCTGCAGGTTTCCCCGCGTCTCGACGTCCCAGTTTTCGAGGGATGATAGAATTTTATCTGTTCAAAGGCGCTGAAACGATCCAAAAATAACGTTAGCGTAGCTACTCGCGTTAGCTAGTTGTTGCTTGTTCCGACGCTATGCAACGTGGTGGGGGCGCTACGGTTGAAGGATTGAGGGGAGGGGAAAGGGAGAAAGATGGGAAAAGGAAGAAACCCAGGCACTCTTGTGTGTTTCGATGCATTATTTCAAATTCCTAGATAGTTCTGTGGATCGAATTATGTTATCATATGCCTATATTCGATTTATCGTAAATTATATATAGCAGTGTTTTCCGAATCTCATCTTTCCACGGATACCCTTAATAATGGAATTTTGTTGGTAAGCCTCCTAAATTACAAGTAAATTATTATTCTTTTTAGCATTTTCTTAATGTGTAATCAATTTAATCTCTTTTCTACTATTTAACGGTAAATTATTGTTTTCGTTAAATGGAAAATTCAATAAAATTAGCTAACATTTATTACCCTTAAGAAGCAGAATGAAATACATGTACGTGTTATTCTAAATTTGTTTAACTTCAAGTTTCGGTTGTTGTGTTTTTTGCTATCGCCGACAGCAAACTGTTTAATCGATGCGTTTAACGAGATTAAAGTATGACTTTAAAGTGAAGAAGTTGATAATATGATTTTTTTTATTTTTTGAGAGGCTACCTTAATTTGAGAGACACTGCTATATAGTATGCTACTGTTTACATATACATATTAAATTGTTTTTAGACGATTGGAAACATTACGAAGTTGTTTATACAGAAAATGTTTGGTTTTTCAAACGAGAAACCTGATAGTACAGTCGAATATTTGTTCAGTCGTTAAAGATTATTTGTATTTTTTCAACACAGCTACATGTTATATACAAAAGTCTATTGTAAGATTATTAGGTATACTTTATAAGTCATGCAAAATTTTGAATTGTGCTCTTTCTCATCAATTTAACATTTCGTATCGATCAGTACCGTATAAGAGATGGACAAAATACTCGCCTAGATAGAAAATTTTGAATAATGACCACATTATAAACAAATTTTTATCCTCTATTTGTTTAATAATAATGATGCCGAATAATGAAATCGAAATAATAGTGAAAGTATATCGGAATAATTGTCCGAGTAAACGATCGAATAAATCGCTAATATCGCTACATAATTTTTTGTTTTTTTCGTTTGTTTATTATTCGAATAAAATTTTGTCCATCTCTAGTATCATAGAACTATATATTTTTTGTTTGTTGTTTCACACATCGATGTAGTAGAATACACCAGTATATCGCGGTTCAGTATCCACTATTCTACGACGAAAAGGTGATCAATTCGTAAAATTATCTTGTAAAGGATCGATTGATAGCAGATTCGTGTTATTCGACTCGTAGAATTCGACCTGGAGCGCACCGTAACATAAATTTAACGAAAGTATAATTTTTTAAAAAATGAAACTGAACTTGGTAATTATTATTATTATTATTTTTTTTTTTTTTGTAATTTCAATTCAATAATCAAATTTTTATATTAATTTTTGTTCACTATACAAGCAACAGTGATTAAAGTAACTTTAAGATCTCGACAATTAACAATTTAACCAAATAATGTTTGCATAAACAACTTGCTCGCATCTTTGACACTATGACGATTGTGTCTATATATTTAAACCGATCATACTTGCAAATAACTATATCTATATATCTTTCGGTAACGTTTCTATTGTTATATTTTGTATTTCGTTCGTCCACGGCATTCCATCACATCACTTCACATCACATCACATCACATCACATCACATTATATGCAATTACAATAAAGAATAACCATTTGCAATAAAAAAAATAGCGTGTTACATAACTGGTAAACACGTACGTTTGCAACTGTCTTTACAATTGCATTCTTATTTCTTCTTGTGCCTTTAATTCTTTGCACTCTGAGATTTCTTTTAATTAAAGCGACTAGAGACTACAAGTTTTAATTTAAATTTTATTCGTTTATTTCGTTAATTCAGTTTGCGTTACCATAAATAAAATTTGACCCGAATCATGGTGTATATTATGTACGACGCCGTGGCAGTACCAGTAGAGTACAAAGGGCGGAGGGGAGGGGTCAATTACGGTGATAAAATACCGTAAGATCGAAACAGATAATATAAAGTTTATAAATTGTTCTCTGTACGAGCAAAAGTTAACAGATTATCTGTACGAATTAAGTTATCATTAAATGAAATATGAAATGTAGTCACATCAAAAGCTGTTATTTTACAATACCGTGCATTAGCGTAAGAAACAACTCGTTGAAACGTTATCTCGACGAGTTTTGTTTTCTGTATGTAATCGAAATTATTTAAAACTTGTCCAAGTTCCTCGGACTCCATGATTTGAACGTTTACTCGTGTAAAAGTAAATAAGGAGAATAGGAAGTCATTCGGCGGAGACCACGGCATACGCCATCGGAACTGTACGGTGGTAAATTGCACCGTCGTTATCGTATCTTCGCGATGACGATTATCGCGATTAGAATATTCTTCTGTTCAACGCCTCTGAATTGCCGGGTGTCCGATAGTAATATTATGCGTGCGAGATATTCGATCTTTTCGAGAGATTCTTTAATTTTCTATAACGTTGCGAGTAATAACGAGTAATATTTTTAACAAAGTGTTACTATTAAAATGCAATTGAATAATACAATGAAAAATCTAACTTGTCAAAGTCAGTTTGAAATGAATGCAGGAAGACGTGGCGAATAGGGTTCGTAATTAAACAGGAGAAAAGTAAAAACCTATTCGAAATTCCTTTACATACGTCGAACAATCTTTAAAAAACGTAAATAGCTTGATGCGTTAAAGATATTTTAATACCTTTCGTAAACGTTACAAATGACTTATTTGGAGCGAATATGGATATGATAATTAAGTACGCCTTCTTTCTTTTCTCGGCAGAATAATGTCTCTCCTTTTTCTTCTCATTTGAAATAATTGTGTATTTCTATTATTGGAACATGTCGTATTTTATTGATTACGAAAGGGCTACGAAACTTTCAAATGCCGTACTTTAATCTATCGAAATCAAGATTGAAACAAAGAGAAAAGAGTGGAATCTAAACGGAACAACAAATGCGGTGTCGGTTTTATCATCGAGCATCGATCGATCGGATAACCGTCAACGACGCGTTTACCGATCGCGATTCAGTCTTTCTTTGAAATATGATAATCACACGCCTACGATATCAATCGATTCGTTCGAAATCGTTCGGACCAGCGAAATCATTATGGAACCATTAAATACACGCGTCGGCCTTTTTACTCTTTATTTTTCCTAATTACTTTCAGTAAAGTTGGCATTACGGCAGATTGAGCGTAATATTTACGACATCTTACGATTCTTTTTAGCTCCTTCTTCTAAAAGATCGTCCATCGTTATCATCGATGTCGACGACATAGGATAACTACCACGATAACGATAAACAAGCACGAACAGTTTGCAAGGTCATCGATCGGATCACGTAAGAATCCTTGAAAGTTGTCCGCAATTTTTTGTCTGTTCGTTCTCCTCGGATAACGTACGTAGACCCATCCACGATCGATATTTGCAGATGCGTGTCTTGTTCCTTTATTGTTCGCAGGCGTTTTTCTTTCGTCATTTTCAAAGGTGTATATACACGTGTATACGATCTCTCATTAAGAGTTAAACAAGAAAAAAAGAGGGGGGGGGGCAGGGAAATAATAATAATAATAATAGTAATAGTAATAATAATAATAATAATGTCGTTTGGAATAGTCCCACAAGAAAAAGTTACCACCGTTTATCCACGCGAATACATCCTCACTTACCGATGTAGAGGCACTTCTATGTAATATTTTTCTCACGTAATTATCCAGTGGCAGTACATTCTCGTCTTAATTATAATTCTGCTCCTATAAAGAGAGGTTAGTACCCTTAATCACTTGTTCCGAGTTGTTTAGAGTTTTGTTTCGTGCGGTAGGTCGGGTAAACTGGTGCTAGGTATAAACAGACCGAGAACCTCCGTTGAATCTTTAGGCTCTTTGGATAAAGTTTCGGTACTGAAGCCTTTGAAAACCGGCTTTTCATGATCCGCGTCTTTGTACACCGACGACGAACTGCCATCTTCCTCGATACTGTGCAACACGATCGGATGAGGGATGATTCCTCCATTGGAGAGTAGATCAAATCGTGGCGGTGGACTACTGTCTTCGATGTAATTTATATGAATTCCATCCAACATATTCATAGCGCCGTGTGGACTAGTCGATGATAGTTCCGTTGGCGTATAGTACTCGCTATTCAGATCTTCGAAGCTTACACCGTTCGCCAGGTCGTTGATTTTCGCTTTGAAGTACATGTCCACGCGAACGGAACCATCGTCTTTCGGATGAAACACCATCGAGTCGCTTTTCCCGCAAGAACCGCTTCGGCAATTGTCAAAGTAGAAGCTAGGTAAATTCTCCAGGACTTTGTTCAACGTCTGCTGCTGGTATTTGTAGCTTTCGCGCAGCCGCAATACCTGATGGGTGCTGAATTTTCTTATTTTGTTACGCTGGAAGACATAATTTTCTCGTACCCAATTCAACTGGCCGGTCGAGTAATCCCGTGCTTTCTTCACCTGTTTTGCAATCAGAAAAAATGGTCTCGTGAGATATAGTGGTAGATTAAGGGTAAAGGATTGTTTAGACCGTCGACTGCATAAACGTTTCCCGTTTTTTCTGGGAACATGCGTAGAATTTGGTCCCGATCGATTATGTCGTTACGATTGAGAAAATTACATTGTACGTTAATTGTAACGAGTGTTTACGGTACCATTTTATTACCTGATCGTAATACTGATCTCTGAGTGCCGTGAGATGGCTCGTTCCATAGTCTCTGATGTCCCTTATGTGCCTCATTTGACCTTCGTAATTGTCACGAATCCATTCCACTTGTTGAGCGCAATTCTCTTTTATCCTGTGCACTTGTTGGGTGTAATTTTCACGTAACTTTTCCAGTTGCTGACTCTTGTATTGCTCGATGCTATCCAGCATTTGGTAAATTTGTTTGGCACGAGGCGTAGAACCGACGTGTCTACAACACGAACACCACTTCAGACAGCCGCACCTGTAACGAAGAGTAGCACACGATTCATTTGTTGCACTAATTGCACACCAATTTTGCGTTACGCGTTGTAGATACCGCGAGTCAATTCTTTATCCAAGTCGAAACAATCGGTTCGGTTAAAGTAGCATAGAATTCGAGAGGGCAACGAAACAGAAAGTACACGTACTTTAAAGGAAGCGTACTCGGATCGCGCTCGTGTCGAGAATCTTTCGGCATTTGACATCTTTGGTCGTTACCCGATTCCTTTGATCTCTACGCTAAATAACGTATTGTCAACCAATTGAAAAGTACTTGTACCAAGCGTATAGAATTGAAAATGAAAAAACGACTAATGTACAAACTGGTACTTACTACTTGTCCAGATAGGAATTCATTTAATCTGTGTTTTATGTTTCGGATGTATCAGTTTAAATGTATAAAATAACGCAAAGGTGTATCGCATGGAAAAGTGTTAACGTATCGCGTACTATCCAAGCATCAGACGGAAGAAAAAAAGAAGAGGAGGAATAAGATACTTACTTGACCAAGAGATAACGTAGCAGTTGCAAGAGTAGGGTTAAGAGAAGAAAGGCCGTAGCACTCGCGGCGCCTACCAAGATGCTGATGATTTGGATTCTGTGTAAGGTTATTGGATTCATCTGCAAACTAATATAGGTAGTGGCATTGGAAATCGGGTTAACCGCGAAACACTTGTATCGACCGACATCCTGCCTGAGCAACGTCGTGATGTACAAAGATCCGTTATCGAGGATTCGTATTCGGGCATCGTCAACGATCGGTGCAGTTTGTTCCCATCCGTGTACGGGAGGATGTTCGACAAAAGCGTCGGGAAAAGCTGGATCGGGATTCCAGTGCAATACCTGAAGAGTCGGCGTGACCCATGTTAACGATGGGGTGGGATTGCCGTTGAACTCGCACTCGAGAAGCACAGAGTTCAACAAGAGATATTGCTGAGCGGGCGTGGCGTATGCCAAGAACGGCGGGGTGCAGTTCAAGTAACGAAGAGTTTGAAGGATATCGGCTGCCCCGTCGATCTCATCGCCGCATCTGAAGCCACTTTGGAACGCGGTTCGTAGATGTGCCTTGCTTTCGGCCCACTTTACGAACCAAAACATACGACAGTCGCAGGCCCATGGATTCCCCTGCAGTTGCAACTCGTTCAGAGACGACAGCTGTGCAACGTTTGCCGGGAGAAAGGTCAGATTGCTATCGTGTAAATCGATCTTACGAAGGGCCGGTGTGCGATCGAAGGTGCGCCGAGAAATCTCTCGCAGAGGGCTTTGGTTTATTTCCAGAGTTTCCAGATTCTCTAATCCCTTGAGATCTTCGTTGCGGAGAATCTCCAGCCTCGTCCCGGACAACATCAGGACTCGTAGCTTCCTGACCGGGTGCCAGACGTCCTGTGGAAGCACCGTAATCGGTAGAAACCTCAAGTTGAGCCATCGTAAATTCGATAGGCTTTGAAACGTCGTGCTAGACAAGTGGGTAATAGGGTTCCCGGAGATATCGAGGTTTTGCAGGGACGAAAGATCGGCGAAAAGACCGCGCGGTATCGTGTCGATCTCGTTGTTGGCCAGCTCCAAGCTTTTTAATTGACTCAGCCCGGAAAACAACCGAGATGGAAGTTTGGTCAGCCTGTTGCCAGACAATCCGAGTTCTCGAAGGCGCCTGTTGGGCCTGAAGCTGTGATCCGGCAGAGACACCAACAAATTATGGGACAGGTCCAACCGGACCAGTGCTTTCGACGAGGCGAACGCTTGGTAGGGAAGTACCGACAGACGATTTCGCGACAAACCGATCTGTTCAAGACGATCCAAACCTTGGAACAGTACTCGTGGGAGTACGCTCAAACGATTCCCGGTTAGATTCAGGTACTGCAGTTTATGTAACGGATGGAAGACGTCCGACGGCAATTCCGCCAGCCTATTGTCACCTAAGTTTAGATACTCGAGCAACGTCGTCGCGCGAAATACATCCGACTCGACTCGCTGTATTCCGCTCAAAGTCCAGGCAAGACTCTTTAGATGAATGGAATCTTTGAGGGCTGCAACGGGTATAGTAGCAGCTCCGACGTTTCTTAACGCGACGTTTGTAACCTGTCTCGGTAAGCCAAGCCCGAAGAAACTTCGATCCTTGCAGACCAAATCCTCTCCAATGTCCACGCATTCGCAACCCGTGGCACATTCTATACTCGACGATTTCCCAGAGTCCGTCGACGAGAGCTGATGACGATGATCCTGCGTATCCACAACGTGCACTGCTGCGAGAACAACGATTAACCACCACCACGAGTTCCACGTCAAAACCCGTTCCCTCATTCCTATGACCTGTAACGTGACGATTTTCACGCATACAATCAAAAATTCCCATGTCCTGTTGGCCGATCTTCGTGAGATCCCAATCTACGATTATTTTTCGTATTCTTAGTAATTCGAGACACTACAGCGGACGACAACGTTTCCTTTGTCATTCGTATCCACGTGCTCCCGCGGAGACACAACTTTTTCACTATGTCCCTTTTCTTTTCTTTTCTTTTCTTTTCTTTTCTTTTCTTTTCTTTTCTTTTTTCTGTCGTCTTTGTTTTTTGCTTGTTACCTATCTGCCACCAAACGTGAAATACGGACAAAGCCGCCAAGCACCGACTATGGTGCTCGACCGTGGGTTCTGGCTGGTTACCCAACGATGTGTCCTAGCCGTTTGCAAAAGATCCGGCCCAGTGTCTTATGGACTCACTTATATTGCTGGATTTGTCGATGAAGGCAGTTGTATTTCTGCTATTTTTGTATCGAGCCGGTAACATAATTGTGCACGGTTTCATGAAATGGCTGATGCAAAGTTTCCGAAAATTGGACGGGAAGGAAAAATCTGCCACCGATACGACGACGACGACGACAACAACAACGACGTACACAAGTTTCGCGCGCACAGATACGCATGGGAACGGTTGCCATATACAAACTAATCGCGTACACACACACACACACCCATACACGCACACACACTCTGCCTCAATCGCTTTCGTTGTGTCGATGTATATTATTTCTTTTTCTTTCTTTCTCTCCCTCCCCCCCACTCTTTCTTTCTCTCTCTCTCTCTCTTTCTCTCTCTATCTCTTTTTGTCTGTCTGTCTGTCAATTATGTGTCACTGCGACCAGGGTTACGCTTATTCCGCGTGTCACATGACACATTCGTGCATCGCGACACGATCAGTGTCGTCCGTCGCGTATCAAAGACAAAAAGTAACTGCGAGATTCGAGCACAGTCGAGTCTCGCTTCTCCTCGTGGTAGCCCTCGCTACGAAGAACCGGCAACGTTGCCAGCTCGGGATACCGCGCCGACGCAAACTGATATCGCTGCGCTTCGTAACGCAAGCCGCCCCGACAGAGAGGAAGAGAAAGAAAAAGAGAAAGCTACAGACAATCAAACGCAACCCTTTAGACTGATTGTGTGATTGTTGCCCATTGGTGAAACGCTACCGACCCATCATACATTTTACTGCTCCAAGATGTCCTATCTTTGTCATCTAATACTTCCATTACTTACCACTTGTAGTAGTTTTTGCGGCTAAGCAACTCTGCGCTTGCGCGCGCACGCACGCCTAATTGTCGGTCTCGTACACATTGCTCTACCGTTACAGATTCTTCTCGCGTTTATTAGTCTAGAGCATATCAAATCTCCTTATTTTTCAATGATTCTTTTTATTCGACACGAGAAGGGATACAATATTTGGAACTTGTCAAACATGTATTCATTTTCACATATATCGTTTACGTTTTCTGTATAAAATTTAATTATTTTTAAGACTTACGTGAAACATTTTTTTATAATATTTAACGAAATCAGTGTTGTTCAGAAGCTAAACACATACTATGTATGCGTGGTAGGAAATTACGATGGTTTAGCTCCTTTTCGTATTTATTAATTAGGTGATTGTTATCTACCATCTTTCCGGTCTGGTTAATAAACGGTGTTATTACCGGTTACACGGACAAACCTTTCAAATTTTATTTCATAAAAAGAGAAAGTAGTGTGCGCGTTTGTAAGTCTTCAAAATATTCTCTTCGATATTTCATTTATCGGAGGACGATACATTTTAACGGTATCACGATCCCAAGTTCGCAATATTCGAATTGCCGATAACGATAAAAAGCTGTTTAAGAATTACATCGATTCAACCATATGGTTCATTTCTATTAATGATAAATGTTTTGAAAATAATCGTTTTTTATTTGCATCGTTAAGTATATTCCAACATACAATCAAAAACGTTATCGATGAACACGTTGTTATAATAATTTTACCCATAAAAAGTACAAAATACAACAAAGTTTACATTAGTGAAAAAAATAAAACGGAACAAAAATAAGTACATGTTTACAAACTGCGGAAGAAAGTTGATTACACGCGCGAAATTGAATTTAGAGCACCCGGTTTGTAATCTTATTTACCATAAATTCGAATCGATACCATCGCACAGCGAGGACAGCGTTGCCTATTATAATTTAGGCAAAGAGTTTGACGCGTACACTCCTATTAATAATGTCTCGATCTAGATTCAGCCCGTACGAAGAGAAATTTTATTCGTACATGTTCATGATAATATACGTTTGGATCGATAATAATATTAATGAAAATGAAACAATTGACAAATATATCCTTAAATAAACCATGTAGCAATATATAACGTTACGTTGCTGCATTTATTTCGATAAGGTTCTTTTGATATTATAAATATAAACTATAAAGTCGATGCTATTAGTTTCGGCGTAAATCTTACAAAAGTGGCATCGCGTAGTATCGATCTAACATACCTCAGCCTCGATTTTCACTTTACGTCCAACTATCTAGAGTAGAGTATAATCATCAATTTTTCATCTACGAACAATTTTTGAAAGCGTATTTGCATACCAATTACGTTCATCGAGGAGGAATGACAGTTTCTTGGTAATGGATGTCGTCGTTAGCACACACGAAACAAAACACTATCGATATGGCGTAAGGTTTCCTAACCACGACATAAAAATGGCTAATGGCCGTTCTATAAACAACCAGTTCATTCCGAAGAAAATATTCTCATCTAATGGCATTTCCTTCGAAATCAAACATATTTTTTAACAATAATTCTTGTATAATCGTAAGTGCGTACTTTTATCAAGTTCGTTCGACTTCGATGGCATGTCATTTAATTTTTTTTTCTTTTAGACTTTTTTGTCTGCATTCGAATTAGGTCATTTAAAGGGTTATATAACGTCCTTTATAAACTAAATTTCCGCGAAGAAATTATCGAATGAGCTTCACCAGAAAAAGTTAATTACAAGTCACACATTGTACAAACTGATTTCGTTTGGAGCTGATAAAGAAAATGTGAATTTCGTTATCTTAACGAAGATGTAGTACCGATTCGCTCGTAAATCGTTTGTTCAAACTGCTCACGTGTCCAACTGTTAAACTGACCTTGGCGATAACTTCGACAGCTGTAGCTGACGATTAATTTTGAATACTGTACAATCTATAATGGTGAATTTTCCGCGTCAGGTGAACGAGAAAGATAAGTACGAAGAAGAGATAATGTTGTAATTTAGTTGTTGGCGAACGATCTTCTCTCGAGCTTTCAACGATCGCGCACCATAGCCAGTATCTATTATATGTATGTATGTATGTCGTCTTGGTATCTACGAATGTCAAAGGTTATCTCGATGTCGAATTCAAATAGATTCCAAGATAACTAAACTATGTATTTTATGCTTTTATGGTGTATCAAGATTTGAAATTAACAAAGAAAAGAGTTTTAGGTGGCTTAATTAGAAAAAAAAATGATCGAAAAGAGGTTTATCATTCGAATAAACGATAAGAAATATGTGAAACGATTGCTCTATCGTATTTTGCAGTTGCGTTTACAAATACGCTTGATAAGCTACAGTTTGCGTATATTTATTGCCTTTCAGCTTTGTTATTCGACATCGAATTTCATCACGTTATAATATCTCGTAAGCTGTATTTAATAACGTTGCAAACTACTAAATGCTTGTTGCTCTTTTTTCTCAACGCGTAGAATTAATTTCGCGAATGACTAATTTAATATTGCTTTATGCTAAAATTAGATTTTAATGTGAATTATAAGAGACGAACCAAGTTCGGAGATCATTTTTTGGATTAGCCTTCGGAACTCGATTTGCATGTATAGTTTTCAATAGGATTGCATTTTCTCTTGAATAGTAAAGTTTTGTAGGTTGTCCGAAGGTCGGGGAACTGAGCCCTGACGACCATAGCCAATGAACAGAAAGGACTGTTGCAAAGCTTGGAAAGACCATTTAATTTGCTGCTCTAATCCGTTATGTATTTTCCGTTGGATTCTTTAAAGATGAAAGAATGTCCTCAATAATTGTCTCGTTTGAAAAAAGCTTGTAACGATATTAAGTTGAAGTATTCACGAATCTATAAGAATTGTTTGTTTAATCGAGAAACAATTCTAAAGATAACTTACTTGGTAGCGTTACGTAATATACCGTTGGCACACAGGTTTTAGAAGGCTCGAATCTATGTATGTAAGACTGGTAGTAACAAAGATGGCGATAGGGGAGAGGGGCAATCGTTTTCAAGGGCAGAGCGTTGTTTCGTCTTCCGAAATGTTTTGAAACTAACATGACATGTAACTCATCTGTTGGAAACGAAAGTAAAATGCAACAGCAGCATTCGATTCGAAGAGAATCATAAATTTTCAAGTTTCATTTAAAAGTGTAAATGGAATAGGTATTTGATTGTTGAGCGTGCGATGCCTTTTCTTTTTAATGGGTAATGTCGGTCGCGACTAAATAGTTGATGACTGGAAGGAAGCGCGTTTCGTTTCGTATTCGAGTTAAAACGGAACGAGCAACGTAAGAAAGGAAAGGCCTCGTCTGCGGTCGAGGCATGGCGATATTATAGCGTTGGTGTCAGTCGCAAGAGAGAGAGACGATGAATTGGCAGGGAAGGGAGAAAACGCGAAGAAACGGGTAGGGAAAGAGAAAGAGAAACGGTCGTGCGTCGAGCGGCACGAGTGGAGCTCGATCAGCTGGGAACAAGGCAATGTTGCCACGTTTCACCGTGTGACCCCCGGCTGACGACCGTGTCTCCGCTACGTCGATCAATATTACAGAGATCCGACAACCTCGCACCGCTATCCAACTCTTTATTTATACGTGTCGGTTAGACGGCGCAGGCCCGCTCCGATCCTTCCTTCGCTCGCTTTTGTCCTTCGTCGTCTTCGTTTCCTTGGCCTTTGCAGATTTACCATGATTCTCTGATATTTTCGAAACGATCTCGAGCTGTAAATTCATCTGTGAAATGCTAACACTAACACTAAGCCAAACCAGTTAAAACAATCGATATTAGACAATTGAAAATAAAAGACACATTCCATGTATTCATCTCGTCGCGTGTACATATAATATTTTTAGGCTGTCGTATGTACGTTGATTCGAATGATCGGGAACGTACACGCTAAGTGTATTGCGTTTTGCACTTGAAAAAGTAACTTGAAAGAAACATGTGTCGTTCAATTTCCTTTCGTCCTCTTGTTTCGTACTATACATATTGCATTGTCTTATTCTTATCCTAATTGTGCATTATGCACAATCTTAACAATCGTGCGAACTCTACGATTAGAAATTGTATATTATTTAACGGTTTCCGTGCGTTCACCGTGAATTGTAAAGGTCGATATACTCAGTCCCTCTACCTGATACCCGTACAATTCTACATCCGCCACCTCGGTAACTCGTACTCTGGCACGTGAGTTTCGTACGTACTTGTCCACTCGGTTGTCTCTTACGTCGATCAAACATGTATTTTCTTGTAGAGCTTTCCGTCACCGAGTGTCCCAGTATTTTTTTCGTTTTCTTTAACAAAAATCTTTATTCAAGTTATTTTACAAGTATATAAGGTATATGTATCGTATAAATTCATATACTATAATGAAAAACGCCAACCTGTCGGTTCCACTATTTAACGTGTACAACTATTCAACTATGTTACGTGGGCCTAAAATACTCACACATGGCATGGAGTAGCGAATGCTTTCCAAGTTTCTGCCTATACATATATGAATACACGTGGCACACGTTGTTTTTATTCAAAATGCACACGCTGCGCATTCTCGTGACACGGAGTCGAAGATTATACAAGTTATTAGGACACTAAAATCTAACTGCTACACAGTATCTGCCAATGTATTTATAACTGTACAGATTAAGATCCTTAACTTTTCATTAAGAAAATTTTAGGAAGCAGACATTTTCATAAACAAGGCATCCATTAAAAACATTTCAAGTATTTTCGTAGCAACACTTGTATGTATGTACTCGGAAGAGCGAAGCGCAAGCTGGAGATGCACTTGGAATGCAATTGTGTCGTGTATATGATTGCACTCATCTCTAGTAATAGTTGAATTTCTTTTCCTTTGGAAGCCACACAAGTTGGTTAAGTTGGTTCAAGGTCACTTGTTAGTAGGACACGGTTACACTTACGCAAAGTTTATTTCTAAGTCATTAGAAATGCGATGACCTTTGAAAGTAATTGGATATTGTTTACTTCTGGTTTTATAATTTGGGCAAATGTGACAAATGGATATGGCAACGATGCAAGCAATTCAGAATTCAAGGACATACATATACATGTATGTATACGCGTTGCATTCCATCCGCGTATGTCGCTCGAAAAGAGACGAAAATGAAAGGGTATCTTGGTCGTTACACTCTTAATCGTCTCCCTTTTCTATTTAACCCTTGTATTCGGTTTCCCTTTCTTTCCCTTCCCTTCTTACACAATAATGTCGTATAGTTAATATACTATACTATTATAGACTATGAGCTATTACTTTATTTTACTGGCTCTGAACTGTATAATATATCATTGAATAATTTTATCATGTTTCAATGAAATATATTAAAAATTAATAGAGTACTCGTCAATATTAATCGTTATTTGGTTAAATAAGATAAAATGTAAATTGTATGAGAAACGACGCCATTGCACATTTGGAAAATACCTTATTGATTTTGCTTCGTAGTCCAGCAAAACGACTCCGGACTCGTGGATAAAAGTGGCATAAGGCCAGATACGTAAGTACGTACTTTTGATGAATTTTAATAAAATTTTGGCATTATGTGCTATGGATTTTTTTCTTCGATTCTCATTATCTGCAAGTATATCCATCCCTAACGATGAAAATTGGAGGAAAGTGTAGCTTTCGTGTACGTCGGGATAATACACTTGAAACTTACAAAAAGAAAAAGGAATAACATTACATTCGATAAATTTTAAATGAAATACGTATTCACTCGGCAACGATGGGTGGGCACTGCTAACATGTGTATATATGTATGTATGTATGTATGTACTTGTATACAAATCCCATGAGATTCTTCTATAATCTACAAGTATTTGTCATCGGTTTCAATGTACAAAAGATTCTAGAAATGTTTAAAAACTCGTCGAAACATAGGTATTGTTACGTATCACAAACAAGACTGATCAGTTTATGGATTCTTTCAACATCAATTAATGCTTAGATATACTTTTCAGTCGTATACGAGAAATATCTTTAAGTGATGCAATGGCGTCGTTTGGTGATGTGGCAAGCCAGTCTGAAAACGTTTAGCGTTGTAGCCGTTAAAAGCAGTGTACGTGACAGGAATGATGACTGAAATGGCGAGCGGTGAGTCGTGGCGACATCTATCGGAGCCATGATCCTCAAGATGCATGGTTGCGTTACTGCATCGCACCGACTGATGTCGCCACGAGGTCTAAAGCAAACTAGTCAGGGCTGTAATAAGAGTTTACAATTCTTACTTGCTTCAAGCTGTGTAATCATATACTTGAATACACTTCGTTCTATTTCTATACCGTAGGTCGTAATCATTTATGATTTTAATATTAGGGAAAAATTTATCAACATACAAAACAAAGAATTTGCTTAAATACCATAAGAGGACAATGCGGGTTATATATATTTAGATTTTATGAAAAAAAGAATATTTACATATCACTATATAAAGTAATTACATCAACATATCTTTCTAACAACATGTTAGCGAATAATCAATTCAATTCATCGATTTAACCTTATTTTCAACTTTACAGTGTGCAGATTTTGTAAAAGCAGGAGCAGAAGAGGGTTTAACGCCATCCGATGTTGTGCTCGCTGCTGACATTACGTTCTCTTGTGTGGCTGATCCACAAGCTGCCAAAGACGTACGTAAGAGTATAATATAAATTTGTAATCGATGACAGTGGATTCGATAAATGAGCGTATTCTTTGTATAAGTAGAATACGCTGGCAGTTGGTTTGCGACTATAAAAAGACCGTAATTCCGTTACAGATGGTCTTTGGAAATTGCGGAGTTCTTACGGAAATATCTCCAGAGAAAGGTTACGTGGAGATGACCGGTATAGACGCGGAAACGTCGCAGGACATCGCCGAGGCAATAACCGCAAAGGGAGGTCGTTATTTGGAGGCTCAGGTACAAGGCAGCAAAACAGAGGCGCAAGAGGGTACTCTAGTGATCCTCGCGGCTGGCGATCGTGCCCTATTCGACGAGTGTCAGTCTTGTTTCGAGGCGATGGGCAAAAACAGTTTTTATCTCGGCGGGGTCGGCAATGCTTCCAAAATGAACCTCGTGCTTCAGCTAATGGCGGGTGTGACTCTTGCTGGTTTAGCCGAGAGCATGGCACTAGCAGATCGTGCCGGTATTCGGCAGAAAGACGTACTAGAAGTTTTGGAGTTGACATCGTTGGCTTGTCCCGCGATTCTTGACAAAGGGAAAGGTATAAGCTCTCTTCTTTTTCCTGGCCAAATACAGGTAACTCGAATTCTTACTTACACGATATCGATCATTTACTTTAACTTTTCAGCCATTATCGAGGGTGGGTTTCCAACGCAGTTACCACTGCAACACATGCAAAAAGACTTGAGACTCTCTTTAGGTATGAGCGATCAATTGGAGCAACCGTTACCATTAGCTGCAGCAGCGAACGAAGTTTACAAGCACGCTAAACGTCTTGGTTACGGCGAACACGATTCCTCCGCTGTTTACATCAGAGCCAGATTCTAACGGAGCATGCATCGTCGAGCTTTCGCTATACCATATTTATTGCAATATCTAGCGTTTCCTGTCGCAACCAGAGAAAAGTAGTGCGCTGTTTGTCGAGGAAATAGTGGAACTATCGATTGCTAAAAGGTAGCTCTGCGACACTTGTTAATACATCGTGAATTTGTCGAGGTGTAAAATAAGTTCTGTTATTGCTGTAGCTGGAACCAAATTCGATATATTTGAATGCATATACAGTGAATTTTATGTACAGGTTCTTGTCGCTCGGTTTAACCAATACAATTGTGCGTATGAAATATCAATATACTTGTACGTTTTTTTTTGTTTTTTTTACACATTTTTTATCAAGATGTCTCTTTTTGCGCATATATGACTTTTCGTTTTCTATTAATACACGGCAACTACTTTTCTCGATCACAGCATACGTCATGATATAGTCGATTTCTCGAGTCACTCGATTCGTACTCGTTCAATTACCGATTTTAGACCGTTGATATCTTTTTATGATAAATATTATGGGATAAATATATGGATTGTATAACGATGCTTTCGATTGATATGAACCTCTTCAAACAATAGTTCCCTATTATAAAATGAAAGTACCAGCACTTTTAAAAGTGATTATTTTCAAATGACCTGGTATATTATAAACGATTCGATATATTCCATTTATATAGTTTTATCGCATTTTTTTTATTGTATCGAATTGTTATCTTGCGAAAAAGTTGATGTCAAGCGAAAGTTTGATTTACACGGTATATATATTTGTCGATAAACAACCCTATAATATTTTATTTTAAAGATATATTATACAAGTTTGAGGTATGCAGTTGACGGTAAATATTTTTCTAGAGATAATTCAAGATTGACTGAACGGTTCAGCGGAAGCGATACCGGTGGACGAGGCTTAATTTTAATGATGAATTAATGTACGTATTTCAAAATTGTTCATCGAATTCTTTATCGATACGAAGGGAAACTTGTATCGCTCGCTCGTTCATACAGACTCTTGGGTGCGTGAAAAATCACGTGCCTTACATTTGTAACAATGGCTATATGCCCATATCATATATTGTATATGTAATTAGATTATGGATAGTGGTTCAATATTTGTAGCAGTATTTCGTATTTTCTATTTCCGTAGTTCCCGTTTCATCTCAAATCAATCGTAACTCACCATAACGTGAAACTGGAGCTACGAAAATAGAAAATATTGAATATTCTATAGCAAACATAAAGAAAAAGAAAAAAAATATATATATATATATATATACACACACACATATACATATATATATATACATATAGTTAGTAAAGTGTATAAATCATAGAGAGGGAGAAATAATGCGTGAGTGCGATTGGGTGGGTGAGTGAAAATACGTAATGAGCATTACGTCGGTAACTGACGTTACATGTTTTGTCACGAAATACACTGGTTTTTGAATAAATATCTATTTGAATTACGATGAATAATATTCAGTGCCTGGAACACGAATAGTTTCGGTGTACATTTTCTTACAAAAATTCCCTTGTTTACGTTTCATTTTAAAGCCGGCTCGTCTATTACTTCTTAACATTCAATATTCATGGCGAATTATTTATCCTTTCGATTACATTCTGTATACGAACGACAAACGATAAACAACTTTGTAATCGTTACTCGTCGACTAAATAAACATTGGAATTTAGATTATAGAATGAAATTATTGTTCATACGATTGGAATAAAAAATTAACCTATACCTCGTTGATTAGCTTTGACTACAAAAGTAATAAATAAATGAGAAGAAAATTAGCGTCGATATCAGGTAAAGAAGTCGTGTGAAGCACGTGGTGCGTTCGCTTGGTTTTATTAGGCGTTTCGAATAAACCGAATGATATTGCATGATTAGAGAGGAAGACGAGTCGTGTGCGCACGCGTCTCTGCCACGAGTGGACGTATTCGTGAAAGTACCGAATCAGAGTAGGGATTGAAGGCGGGTGAGGGAACATAGGTAGGGGCAGAGGGGTGGAGCAGCCGCCGTCTGATGACACCTGTAGCTCGACCCCCACGATCAGTTTAGCCGCGACCGTCCACGCGCCGTCTCGTTACCAAGTTTTTGCACAGCCACTACTTTACGTATCCGTGTATGCTTGCGCACACACATATACATATATAGATATCGCAAGCTAATAGTCCACAATCGCGGTCGTAATTTACGTGTCAAGTATGTGTATGGATGGCTTTGAACGCACACGTGTAAACGGATAATTTTTACCCTTTACCACGTGACAAGAACGTCGTGCGCATCTGCTATTATTGCAAGCCAACTGTCACCGTGCTATTTTTTTTACTCGAGATAAAAAAGAAGAGGAACGGAGGCAAGGAGTGTAATCGTTACGTTCCAGTATGTACCATGGATATCGTGTTCTGGCTGACGATCGACATTTTACGAGTATTCTTTCTCCCCATATCGACCAGCCGTCTGTTCACGTATGCCGTTGACAACTACTGCCAGCTCCCTCTATCTGTTTCAGGCAAAACTTTTACGTTTGATTCGAGCGTTGATAGATGCTCGATACGATTAACGCCTATGTAGATCCTACTAGGAACAAGGTCGTCGATGTAGAGCGTTACTTTCTAGACGATCAAGTACTTTGAGATTGTCAGATCCAAATATTATCGAGTACGAATCTGGTGTTTTTCACATTGAACGTCTAAGCGATGACGCGTTTACAATTTTTTGTCTACGTACAATTTCGGTACGGTACATTTCGTCGTGTGATATTCGAATCCGAGTAGCTGTTACAATTAATAACGTTGATGCGTTATGATTTCAAATGAACCAAGTTTTTCTTAGTTGAAAACGAGACGAACGTTGACAAATTACGACCATTTTCTTATCGTTAGTAGTATTGCTTAGCATGATGTTGCGAACGACCTTATTCTTAGGGAACGATCGGTGGTGTTGCGACTGTTGCAAAAAAACAGTACGTGGCCCGTATGCCCGGTAATGCGAAACGAAGGTGGCGGAGGGGCATGTTCTCCGCGCATGTATTTTCAAATGTTTGTCGTGCGAACATACGGAAGCAAAAGAATCCAGACATCATGTCCGTGGTCACGACTATTTTCGTGTATGGATCAGTTTTTTACATGGTAATGATACAACGACTAGTAATAATAAGTATCGAAAGTCGGCAAAACCAACTATAGATACGTCTATCGTAATCCTGTGTAGTTATTGTTCAACTTTGAATAGGAATTTCGACAGTTCTGTATAAATATTTCAAGATAGATGGAAGATTTAATGGAATAGTTTCGTAAAATGTCACGAATACATGTTTTTTCATCAGATGCCTCGATCGATAACGAAGTGATCCGTTGCTTTTATGCGCATCGAATTTGAAAAATAGCTCGTGTCGTTCTGGGTGCAATCTGTCCATTTTTCTCTCTCTGCTGCTCGGTAAATAAGACGCGTGTTGTATCTGGCTGTATCAAGTGCACATGCGTAGGATAAATAAGCAAAGTCGTGTTGGGCATACAATGGTCCTGCAAGGGTATAGCGTAGAAAAGATGGTAAAGGGGGCGGAGGTCAATGGAGGAAATAGCATGGACAAATTCCTTTTTTGTTGAACAGAATGATTGTACTTTGAATAGATATTGTACATCGAGGTACAAATGAAATATTGCTTCTTTTTGAAAGACAAAACGAAAAAAGAATTTTTTCATTGCGCGCGGTGCAACAATTGTATACCTTTTGTCGAATAGATCGGACAAATTATTTTTCTTGTCTAAGATATTAGAAACGACAATTTCTGTTTGTTGAGCAATATACAAACGCGTTGTGTATATGTATACATATATGGTTAGAGGATCGAGCGAATGATGGCATATTGACCGGTGTTAGTGCAATCGCGTTTGCATCGTTTAGTCTGGGTGGGGATAGGTAAGTAGAGTTAGGAGGATCAGCAGCAGGTCCGGTGGGGCAAACATTGTGTGGACAGGTTGCGTTCGTGCTAAGCCGAGTCTCGTCGCCTCTCGCATTCCAAGACGCGGATTCCGGAGCGGTTTTCTTTCGAGAAAGAGGGAGGGAAGGAGAAACAGAAAGAGAAGTGGAACGCTTACGGTACCGATTTTCCAGTAAGCATTCGAGTCCACGCGTTCCTTTTTTCGTGATAGGTTGGTTGGTCGGCGAGAGCGCTTTTTTTTTCTAACTCGAACATCGTACACCTATCGTTGCATTTACAGTTGCTTATCGATTGGATCACGATCCTACTTAATGTACATACATGTATATCGTTGAATCAGGAAACGCTTTTATTCTTCAGCTGTTCAACTCGTTACGCGTCCTTCGAAAGGATTTTTCTTTATAAACGAAAAATAAACGGAGCATCGTTAAACCACGATTGAGTTTTTTCAAAACTAAAAGCTAGATCAGGCATAAACAATTATTCCTCGTCAATAATTGAGTAGAAATTCAGGTCACTTTCTCAATTTCAACGTTTCGATCAAGGTTGTCGATGTCCTTTGGAGATGACAATTAAAATTTATTATATTTCAGTTTGTTAAAAAATAAATTTGAGTACTTTTCGTCGGTTATCAAATGTCTAACTCTCTTCGATGTAAAAATTAGGTAAATTACGTAAACTTTATTCGAATAGCGACAACTGTCGAGTTTGGAAAAATTGTATTTGTCGAGGAATCGTTGGAAAATGTTAGCAATGCTACGAGTAGACCATTTGCCCTTGTTATGCCGGATACTTTCAACTTGGGCTGCCGACGAGAACGGTACATCGCATCGGTTCGTAAAAAGATTACGAACTGTTTGCGTGTTTCCACCGATCCAAGTATGCTATTATTGCGATTTAACGTTCAACGCGTGTTTGATACTTCATCTACGAGATACCACAACTTTTCGTCAAGTTTCAATGGTCGTAAGTGTTATGGATGAATTGCAATCGATATTTTAAAACTGTTTCTCTTAAAAAGGCTACTGTTTGTACATATGTACGTCTTCCGTAGCATAGTTGTATCGAAATTACGAAAAGAAATAAAACGCCTTGGTTAGGATACGATCGAAACGTTTAAATAAATGCAATTCAGACGGTGTCTTCTTTTCTATTTCCATGATGGTTCGGATTATCTATTCGATCGGTTGACCTAAAATCGACGTTGTTGAATGTTTCGAGAAAACAAGTTGACGATTGCCAAAAAACGGATCGCACGTTACGAATTTGTATTGACAGGTCACAATAGTTGCGCCATGTTGGAGTGGCACGGCCAATCGTAAGATCGGACAAGTAACACGTGGTCCTCGGAGTACGCGCGGAGTGTAGTTTACGAACGGTAAACCGAACGCGAGGAACGCGTCGCGTCGGCGTCGCGTCGGCGTCGCAACGTTGGCCTCCGTCTATCCTGCGGTTTCTCCCGGGTTCCCTTAGTTTATAAATAAACGGCAGTCTTGATGGACTCACCTGGCACGTTCCGCTTTCAACCGTGACACTTATCTCAACGTTTCCCAAGCCTGGAAGACACGCGTGCACTTTAACAATTTCCACATAACCTTATTCTTTAACCACGAACGATGTATTCGATCGGTATTCGATCTAAATTTCGAAATTTGTTCGCGTTCCAAAGATCGCACGAGAAATGAGAAAATACACGCGGACTCGTCTCGATGTTTCCCAGATGGCGCGCGGCGAGAACACTTTCACCCAAAAGGTTAAAACGTATCTCGGTTTTCGCGCCAACCGTACCGCCAATGCATACAACCGTTTCTTTCCACTTTCGCAAGGAATGATCGTCATTCAGCATCAGGTGGATGCATACGAAAAACGTGTCTCGAATGTTTGATTCGTACGGAACTCGGGGCAAATCGATCTTACCGATTCGATTGAATAATCAATATTACAGAGTGTACCTGGGGAGAAGAAGGAGAAAGTGGAAACAGAAAATTTCAATCGTAACATATCTCGTACAGCAATGCGGCCAAGTTTTCGAGAGTGTCGCATCGGAGAGGTCCGGCGATGCCAAAGAGCGTGAGGGATGGTTGTTGTTTGATAGTCGACCATGTTTGATCCGAGTGTTCGGACGTGTCGAGGGAGCTTCGCCGGCATGGACAGCAGTCGAAGGGGAGAAACGACCGCGACGTGCTTGGAAATGGTGTTCATTAAATGAGAATTTCTGCCTTTAGGTGGCCACCAAGCGCGAAGACAGGATCGGATCGCCGATGTCGCTTAACGGTCAGTTTCAAGCGTCTCCAAGCGTATCGTACTACACATCGAAGAAAATGAGAAACTCGTCTAGATAATTGGCGAGAGTCGCTCAGTAAGACTTATTAGCGACTTGTTGACAGTGTTTGTTGTCCAGCCGTTATCTCTGCCAGATGCTTTTTCAAGGAGATCGTTGAACACGTAACTTGCGATAGATTGCGGTCGTCGAGTCGGCGATGTAACGCTGGTACCGTAATATGCGTTCACGCGAGT